CATACATACAAACAAGTTAATGTCTTTTGCACAGTTTGGATATAGAGAAAACAGTAACACAGAAATGGCACAATATACACACTAACTAATCATATTTTAGAAACGTTGGAAAGAGGCAATCATTCATTGGGAATTTTTTGTGATTTGACAAAAGCATTTGACTGTGTGAGTCATGATATTCTTTTGAGTAAATTAGCAACATACGGCATTGGTGGTAAAATAAAAATATGGTTGAAGTCCCATCTGGAAAATAGAAGACAAAGAGTTGAACTCTATAATAATGAAAATGGTAAATGCTGTTCAGACTGGGGAACTGTCAAATATGGAGTGCCACAGGGCTCGATTTTGGGTCCTTTGTTGTTCCTTTTATATATTAATGACCTGCCGTCAGCATTAAGTACTGACAACAAGGCATTGTTGTATGCCGATGATACAACTATATTAGTGTCAGGTATTAATATCAATGAAATTCAAGAAAGGTCTAAAATGTATGTTAAATTCCTTAAGTCAGTGGTTTAAATATAATGGCTTATCCCTAAACTTGAGGAAAACTAAAGTGTTAAAATTTGAAACAATCAATCGTGACAATATGCCTGTACATTTAAAGGTTAACGATGAATTATTACAAGAGGAAACTCATATTAAATTTTTGGGCATTGAAATTGATAAGTTCTTGAACTGGAAGACACAGGTTGAATCACTGTTACCCAGATTGGGAAAGGCATGTTACGCAATACGAATTATGAAAACATACAGTAATGTTACAACACTTAAAATGATATATCATGCATACTTTCATTCACTCATGAGATATGGAATAGTTTTCTGGGGTAATTTGTCAGAGGCCAGAAGATCTTTCTCTTACAAAAGAAGACTATTAGAATAATAATGGGATGAAACATAGAGTCATGTAGGCCAGCATTTATAAAGTTAAATATATTAACACTGGTCTCTCAATATATTTTATCTTTGGTGACTTTTATGATAAATAACTTGCAATATTTTACTTTTAATTATTCAATTTATGAGATACCGACAAGACACGAAAGAAATTTGCATGTCCTACAATCACATCTCACAATGAGGCAGAAAGGAGTTCACTGAATGAGTATAAAAATATTTAGCCGTCTGTCTGATTATTTAACTAATTTAGTACATGATAAAAACAGTCTATAAAAGAAATAAGAAATATAATACATAATCCATCATGTACTGTTGATGAAATTTTGCTCTTCTGTCGGGATCAACAGCTAAGGAAGAGAAGAGGAGTGCATGCTGACTGATGGATGTCCCACAGTAGGCATTAATATAGACATTAAGTGTAAGTGTAAGTTAAGGAAGGAGAATTATTATGTATTGCTAATTATCTTGTCAGTATAACTGTATGTGTAACATTGTATCTATTTAATTGAGGTATTCCATCAGAATATAAGAGGATTGAGAAACAAAACAAATGAACTAATAAGCTCCATGAATTCAAATCTTCCACACATACTGTGCCTTACTGAACATCACATGAAACAGCTGGAATTAGAACGTCTTCACTTAGAAAATTATAATTTAGGTGCTAGATACTGTAGGAAAACACTGGAGAAAGGAGGAGTGAGTATTTTTGTACATGAAAACCTAAAATTTACTAAAATAAATTTAGAAGATTATTGCAAAGACCAGGATCTGGAAGCATGTGCTCTAAAGTTAGACTCTCCTTTTTCTAATATTTGTATACTGACTTTATATAGAGCCCCATCTGGAAACTTCGATCACTTTATAAATAGATTAGAAACCATCCTAAATGTACTGCATAGTTCAAAAGTTGAATTTATAATTTGTGGTGATATAAATATAAACTATCTCATCGACAGTAATAGGAAACTAAATTTAGACTCTTTGTTATCATCTTACAATCTCTCCAGTACTGTTAACTTTCCCACAAGAGTTCAAAATAATTCTAGTTCAGCGATAGATAATATATTCATTGATAACTCAAAATTAAGAGACTATACTGTAGGACCCTTTATAAATGGCTTATCCGATCATGATGCTCAACTCATAGAAATAAATAATATTGACCTTCAGCCCAGTAATCAACAATATCAAACAGTAAGGAAAATCAACAAGCATACGATGGCAGATTTTGTCACAAAATTAAGTAATGAATCATGGGACAATGTATTTGACAGCAATAATATTGATTCTAAATTTAATTGCTTTCTGAACACATACTTGAGGATCTTTTATTCAAGCTTTCCCTTAAAAATAGTCAAAAATGAAAATAAAAACAAATCCACCTGGATAACAATTGGAATAAAAACTTCATGTAAACACAAAAGACAACTATATTTGGCCAGTAGGGACAGTAATGATCCAAGACTAAAAAGTCACTACAAAATGTACTGTAAAATTTTGTCAAAAGTCATTAAAGAAGCCAAACAGAATAACTATAACAGCCAAATTCTAAAATCAAACAATAAAATTAAAACCACCTGGGATATTGTGAAAGTTGAATCAGGAAAGAAATCTGTTAATGAAGACGTACAAAGTTTGAATATTGAAGGGAAGTCCACTAACAATCCACAAGCTATCGCAAGTGCATTTAATGAATATTTCCTTTCATTAGCTGAGAAAACATATTCCAATAATAATAATAATAATAATAATAATAATAATAATAATCCAATATACTATCTGTCTCGTGCCTTTAACAATTCATTTCCAAATATCAATCTCAAATTCTCAACAAGGAAGGAAATTGAAAACATTATTAAATCCCTTAAGCCCAAAAATTCACATGGATATGATGAAATCTCTACCAAATTACTTAAAGCAAGCTCTGTTTACATCAGTTCACCCTTGAATCATCTATGTAATAAATCTTTATCATCAGGTACTTTTCCTCAACGCTTAAAATACGCTGTAATGAAACCACTTTTTAAAAAAGGAGAGAGAAAATGCATCTCTAATTACAGACCAATATCCATATTGACTTCATTCTCAAAAGTCTTTGAAAAAGTTATGTATAATAGACTACTTGAACACTTAAATTCTAACAACATATTAGTCAAAGAGCAATTTGGATTTAGGAAAGACCTAACAACAGAAAAAGCAACCTATGAACTAACTAACGATATTTTAAGTGCTCTCAATGACAGATTAATTGTGGGAGGGATTTTCTGTGATCTAGCAAAAGCTTTCGATTGTGTTAATCATGATATCTTACTATCGAAATTAAATTTCTATGGAATAACTGGCAAAGCTAATGAATGGATCAAATCATACCTCAAAAACAGGTATCAAAGAGTTGAAATAAATAATAAAAACTCCAGTCATAATGCATTTTCAAACTGGGGAATTATAAAGCACGGTGTTCCACAAGGATCAATTTTAGGTCCCTTACTTTTTCTTCTCTACATAAATGATCTATCTAAAACCATCAACAATAAATCTAAACCAATTCTATATGCAGATGACACTAGTATAATATTTAAGAACTCTAAATTTGAAAACTTTAAAAATGACATAAATATTGTATTTGAAGCCTTAAACAGATGGTTCGAAGCCAATTTACTCTCATTAAATTTTGATAAAACCCATTACATATCATTCACAACTAAAAACAACCACCAAATTGATCTGGACATCAGTTATGCCAACAAATTAATCTGTAAAGTACTTGATACAAAATTCCTTGGAATACATGTAGACAGTACACTGTCTTGGAAAATACATATTGAACAAATTATACCTAAATTAAATGCAGCTTGCTATGCGATGAGATCAATTAAGCCTTTTATGTCACAGGAAACATTGAAGATGGTTTACCATGCCTACTTTCATTCTATTATGAACTATGGATTAATATTTTGGGGGAACTCTTCACATAGTGTAATAATTTTTAAAATACAAAAGAATATAATTAGAATCATTACAGGATGTAGAAGTAGAGATTCATGTAGAGAATTATTTAAGAAATTAAAAATTCTACCTCTTCAATCGCAATACATATTATCGCTTCTCTTATTTGTTGTTTACAACAAAGATAAATTCAAATTAAATTCTGATGTCTATAACATGAATACTAGACAAAAATATAACTTCCACCTACCCTCATCAACTTTATCAGTATATCAAAAAGGAGTCTACTTTACTGGCATAAAAGTGTTCAACAATCTGCCACAAAGTATTAAAAACTTGGGCAATGATACTAAAAAGTTTAAATCAGAGTTAAAGAATTATCTACATGCTCATTCCTTCTACTCTTTAGATGAATACTTCAATGTAAATAGAGAATGATGTAAAATTAAGTTATATTAATTTTTAAGCTAAAATTGCCTGTACTTATGTATGTAACCTTTTGACTTGTTCTGTATCCAAAGGTACTAACCTACTTAGGATTTACAGACTGTAAATAAATTCAATTCAATTGAATTTTAGATTTTAGATTTGAATTAGATTTTAACTATGGCTGAATTGATGTCTCTGCGATTTTATCTGTGATTGTCTTGTGACTGTTGTTTAACGAGTTTTATATTCAGTGCCAGCTGCACACTTATGAATACTCTGAAATGATGTATATGTATGTTACTTCAGTGCAATACACTGCTGTGTCTCCGCTTATTCCTATGAACTATGATAGATTGCAGTATGAGATCTCTCTCATAAGCTGAATAACATGTGCTAAATTTTAGAGGCAGAGTTATTTTAAAACCAATTCTTAAGAAACATAAAGTCTTTTGTGTAAAGATTTACTGATTGTGTAATATATAATATAATATATAACTTATAATATGGGCACATACTTCAGAAAAGACAGGCAAAATCAAGCACTAATATCAGCAATTACATACATAATAGCAAAAGTAGGAATACCCAGCTACATCACTTCTAAGCAACTTCTTCAATTCAACCCACCCATAAGCCAGTTGTATGTCCTGCCTAGAAGGATGGCTTACTGATTACTGTCCTGTTATAGGATTGACCTTGATGAAATCCTACCACATATATGACTTGGCATAAGCCTTTATTTTCATATTTACCATACAAATGTACATCTCTAAGTCAGAGTTCAATCACAACATGGGAAGGAAACCATTTCCAGCAATGTAAGTATCATATGTTTGTATTTATACACAAAATATATGATTTACATGTAGTTTCAGGAATTTGTAAACATTATTGAAAAAAGGTTTTTATAACAGTAAGAAGAGTGCATGTAGAGTCCAACAATTTATTACCTTTCAAAGAGTTTTTATTAGGATATTTGATAGGTTATAGTTTCAACAATATATATAGTACTTCAACACTAATACCCTCATCATTTAAATCCTCTGATTTAAAATGTGGCTAACAGCCCCACCTTTTAAATCATTATTTCCAGACAATACCAACTGAAGAATTAATTCCTTAATTATTAAATCTCAAATTGTTATATATTTACATCTGCACTATTTCTATGAATAAGGAATACCATTCATTCATCCTTCACAACCACACAATTTGACCACCCCAGATTTTCTTCCACACACATATCAGTCATATTGATAATCTGATACTCCTCCTACTTCTTTACACAAAAGTATATGCTCTTTTACTTCAATTTCATTGACAAATCTATCTTACATTCTTTAATAAGTTAGTTTCAGGGCTGTCCATCACACCCTCTAGTAAAGGTAAAAGGTAAAGTTGGCCATGTTCTTAATTAATTAAGCACTATTCTGTGAAGACATATGAAGAATTGATGCATAGCTCCAATATTCATGATGTTGGGGCTAGATGGAGGTGAGTGGACAGCTTCACACCTGGTCACTTCACCTCCAGGGATATTGTTCCTGGCATCCATTCGATAGGAGGATAGGTGGGCCTCAGAGCCAGTCTGGATGCTATGAAGCAGAGAAAAATTGAACCTTGGCCATCCAGCTTACAGCTCATTGCTATAGCAACTGAGCAATCTCAGCTTCACCTCCTCTAGCAGAGTGACAAAATATGAGTCAATAAAATGGCCACAAATGGATATAAAACATAAAAAAATATGTGACATTCTAACCCAGGAAAAACATTTATTTATCAACATATACTCCACCAACACTTGTCCAATTCCTTTACCAGTACAATGAAACCCACAGTATATAATTCTTTTGACTACTGTCTCGGCCACTTACACACCTCCGTTTCAACATCTTCATCATCAGTGAAATGTTTGCCACCCAGTCGTGAACTGCTTTACATAAGAAACACTACCCACTGTAAACAGAAAATATTTCGTTATTAATATATTTTGCATTGAATCCTTTTGCCCACATAAAACGCACAAAAGAAAGCTGCTCTTTGGTAGTACACAATCAAGCACAGTCATCATTTTGAGTGCTGAAACGAGCCTCTGAACATGTGCATACATGTCTGCTACCTACAGCTACTGTCATGAAGCTAGACTGTGCTGCTGTACACAGAAAACCAGTTATGTCCATTACTGCTGTTTTACTTTCATTTGTGACCTATTTACTGACTCTAGCCTCATATGTGTCCTCTCTTTCCAAACAGCTCCTTGTTCAAAAGTGCTTTTATAATCCTGTCAGTGGTATGTGCCCAAACTGTGATGAATCTGTTTCTACCATTACCACCAAGGAACACTGATTCTCACTGGAAATCATCAAAACATCAGGTCTGATGAAGTAATTTCCAGCCACACTGTGATCAGCCGACACTTGGCCTTGCCAGGAATTAGGCCATCCTGCCCATAGAACGTCACTATACTCCCCCGACTACATGCTTCAGAAGTGAAGGAGATTGCAAAGAACAAACATATTGTAATTACTGGTAATTAAGAGCAATAAGTGTCCAATACCCCACCATGGAAACAAAAGTTTATATACAATTAACTAAGTAATTCTAAGGTGAAAGCATTTATGCCATCATACTCAATCCATCAAGTACTTTTTTTAAAAGTTTCAGGGACTGGAATGTGCCTCTCTCCTCAGAAAGACTACTCAGATTGGCCCAACAGATAGGCCTAAATCTAGTCCCTATGTCCAGTTACCAGAGTGAACACAAGGCAGGGGTTATAAACTAAATTAAAGATAAACCCTCTGTGGGAGGAGGAAGAGTCCAGTTTTCAATTAGTTGATGGGGGGGGAGGCGATGGCTAATGTCAAAAATGTTAGTAACTTGTGTTAACATACCATAGTCGCAAACTTCTAATTTTTTTTTTTTTGCTTTCTCAATTGGGATATTTACTTACAAATCTGCAATTTCTTATTGCACATATTTATTTTTCCAGGCATAACCTGAAATCAGAATCACGGATGCACCCAGCAGAAATGATGGCTGCTACAATAACTACCATCATCCAAGCCACTTAAAAGGTGATGCATTTTCTGCCATGAACCTTCACCATTGGATGCTCCTTCTGGCAGCCAGGGGAAGGGGTGAATCAATATTGCGACTTCTGACGTAGGGTAATCAAAAAATACTCTAAGAAGATTCTGCATTATTTAAAGAACCAGCCTGGTGGTGATCAGAAACCCCAATGCTCCTTTGAGAGCAAAAATTCCTGGGTGCAGTCTACTAAAGCTGACATGGAATAAGCAGAGTCACACAGAGAATGTATCACTATATCAACCTCCCTGGAAGAAAAATAAGAAGATATGGCAAGATTTATGTGTTAAAGTACTGTGGCATATTTACTCTATGCAAGAACTGTTAAGCCACAGAAACAGCCCTTTCATGCAACAACAGAACAACACGACAATAGAAGAACTGCTGTTTCTATGTAATGGCCGGTAAACACCTTCCCCTGTAAGGATGTGACAACAATAGTCATCAAATCTAGAACCCACAATTATTAGTTACGTTACCCCTCATACAAGATGGTACTGAAGAACATGCTGGAGCATTTTCATTCCGAAGAAGCAGCTTCTGGTGCATACAAGAGTTCACCTGTCAAACCAGGGCCCAACACTGGTGCTGCCCTCACTGTGGTTTCCAAGTGGGCCAGAGATGCAGACAATGATCTTCAAGCCCTGATCTTGTGCAAAAGAGGCTGCTGTAACTCCAAAACTGGTGCTGAAGCCCCAGTAGTGATTCTTGAAGAGATGAGAGAGACACCACAAAAGGGGTATCATTATTCCTCTGAGAAAGAAACAAGAAGCACAGATGCTGCAGGTGGCCCTGCTCTATGAAGAAAAGAAAATTGTTGCTACTCACTTTCATCTCATTAGAAGATTACTTAAGCACTATGTCATAAAGACATATGGTGGATTGGAGGTATAGTTCCATCATTCTTGATCTCAGAACTAGATGGAGGTGAGTGGGCATGGAGTTCATCAATTGCTAGAGAACATACCTGTTCTTTACCTGGAATATAATAGATTTTCTTTCCTATGTCACAGTATATTGTAGCCTGTATATCCATTTTTAAGTAATGACTCTGTAAACAACAGCCGTTACTAGGTAATGGCTGCAACAGATACTTTAAGGCACGTCCACATTAGCAAGCCAAACCTCGTTGCAAGCAAAATACACCCAACGGGAACCATTCGCAGCAAGCCATCAATTGTTTCTAGCCGTCTCAGCAAAGGAAGTTCACCGTGTAGTTACACACCGCAGTGGATGGTGGCGAGCTGAACCTTGAGCTGACAGGCATAGTCAAAAGTAGTATGAGTGCGAGTCCTCATTAAGTATGGAGTGGACAAAAGAGAAGTGTTTGGAACTTACAAGTGCTTACAAAAAGCAAGAAATATTGTGGAATGTTCAACACCCACAGCACTACAACAAGTTAAGGAGATATGACGCGTGGGAAGAAGTGGCAGGAGAAATGGGAGTAGATGCGAAAACATGCAGAAGGAAAATAATGGCGTTAGTTGCATATCTACGAAAAGTGGAAAATGAAAAAAAGCATGGTCACAGGAAGAGGTAAGACATGTTTATTTTACATTATACACCAGAGATTGTATATGATTTGAAATATTTACAACACAATCTGAAAGTTTATATTCCCTGTATTAGTTCTATTATGTAGGATGTGTTACTACTATGCTGTTCTCTTCTTAATAGGTCCCGAGGAAATGTACAAAAGTTCATGGTATGCTTTTCAGTGACTGCAGTTTCTGTGGGATAAGGAAATCCAGTAGAAACTAGAAGCACTGTAAGTTCAGAACTCATGCTTTTACCTATTTCTTTTACTTTGCCTTCTATACTTACTGGGGAAGTTACATTTTTAGAATAGTACTGAGCATACATTCACAAAATTGATGTTGCAGATTTGGTTAGGAAAATTATAGGTGAAAATAGGACGAAAATAGAGAGATGCGGATCTCGGCTGTTTTCCTTATGGGGCCGGGATCACAAAAGAAAGTGACAAAGGAAACACATTGAGCTACTCTTCTCCTTCTGTCGTATTCTGCTGGAGCTGCGCAGGATGTCGCTCATATTTTCCGATCTAATTCAAGCATGTTGAGTTTGCCATGGAAACTTCCCTTCTTTGATAAAGAAATCTGCCAATTCGTTCCTTATTTCCAGTGCTGTTCTTGGGGGCCTTTTCGGAATTCTTTGCAGCTGTGGTAAGGAAGTTCTCTTCTCGTTATTGTTATTCCTCCAAGATCCTGGCATTATTCAACCTTCTACCTCAATCCATACTTCCTAGTGGCGAGTACAGGTTAATGGACTCCTTGTTTCTCCTCAGGAAGTGATGCAGGTGAGAGATGGCTATGACAATGAGAGTTGCATTTTCTGGCTGAAGCAACAGTGGTTTCCCCAGTACTCAGAACACAGATGAAGATATTCCAAACACGTTTTCAACCACTCTGCGAGCTCTGCATACCCTGCAATTAAACACTTGCTCCTTTGATTCTGTAGGATACATTCCTGGAAACACTTTCATTAAATGCTGACTGAGTGCAAAAGCTTCATCTCCAAGAGAAAAGTAGGGAATTTCTTTCTCTCTTCCATTCAAACATTGGGGTTGTGGACCATTTAACTCTCCTTTTTCAATAGTCTTATACAAAGTACAGTTTTTAAAAACTCTGCCATCTGAAATTCTACCTTGGCATCCCACATCAACGTATACAAAATTGTAATTGGCATTTACCACAGCAAAAAGTACAATACTAAATTGACATTTGTAACTGAAGTTTTCACTTCCACTGTTGACAGGAGCCTGCAGAATTACATGCTTCCCATCTAAAGCCCCTAAACAGTGGGGAAGGTTCCACTTTTCATCAAATTCTTCAGTGATCTTTAGCCAACCTTTTCGGTTGATGGTATCTCCAATGCAAAAATAGACCCCTGTGAATACCTCCATATTCAGTACAATGAAGTATAAATAGACAGAGTTGAATATGGTGCTTGAAAGAAGTAATTCTGATATAACAGCTTTGTTGATGGAATTTGTTTATATGACTGTAATACCTGTTCGCTTTGGGATTACCACCAGCAGAAAAGGGAACTAACATTGTAAACACGCTTCATTTGACTGTTCATGGTTATTCTCCGCCTTCCCAACCCTGCTTTCTGTCCACAAAAGCTGTAAACAAAGACCTTAGCCTTAGCCAGCACCACCATTTCTCATTGTTAACTCCTTGTGCAAATGGGTATTATAACAATATTCATACATGTTATTGAAAATTTTTATTTAGACAATCAAAAAGTATATTTCAGATTTCACTAGAGCAAGGAAACAAGAAAGACCTGGACCATGAAGAAGCTACAGCCCAGCAAGAGAGCCAGAGAAATAGCAATACATCAAAATCCTGTCTTCCCAAAAAGCAGATCCATCGCAAAGGAGAAAGGAAGAAGAATCTAGAAATCTCAATGTAGCTTTTGAGCTACTGAAGTCATGCACTTCGACTGGTGAAAATAATGATGAATCGCAACAGTTTGGAAATATTATTGCTACTAAGCTCAGAAAATATGACATGACTAGAAGCCTCATACAAAATGAGATATTTGGAATCTTCTTAAATGCAGAGAGAGGATTGTATAATCAGGCACAGTATGTTTCAGGTTTCAACATCCAAACCCAACCACTAGGTCAAAATGTTCCCTTACAAACCACCAACTCCACTGCCAGTTACAATACTCAAAAGTCTAAATGCAGACCAGGCACAAGTATACTCGCATTCCCCGACTCCTTCTCAACAGCACAGCCCTCTCCAGCTTCCATTTCCTCTGTCGCTACCACTGCTGCTACACACACCCCGCTGCCTGACCTTTCTTCTGATGAGTTTTCTCTGCAAGAACTTATTTAATATTAATATTGCTTTGTTTAACTTCAACCTGTTACTTTCAGTTTCTATCATTGCATTTCATTTTGTTGAAATAAAGAAAATAAATAATCCTGCTGTAAAATATTCTTTCAATAACACATAAACTCCTACCTTGATGTTTTCCTTCAGGGATGCAACAACTGCTTCACATACTCCTGGCACTATTTCGCTGATGGCTTGTTTGGATATCTTGAATAGATGCTGCAAACTTGTGTAAGAGTCACCAGTAGCCAAAAACCGCAAAGTCACTGCTAGCCTTTCCTACACACTGATTGCTTCTCTAAAACGTGTACTACTTTTCTCAACTTTGGGACCAATCATGTTCATAAGATATTCAAAATCCATTGGTGACATCCTGGTGAAGTTTTTATATTGACCACTAATTTCTTGAAATTTGAGATCCACAAGCATACTATTACGCTGTACTCTGCCCGCCTTGAGAAGACAAATTTGCCACCATCGCCTCTGCAGTCTTCTTCTTTTGGTAGCATAGTGGATATGAATACAGATGTATGCTGCAGCAGCTAACTTCAGCCTGTTTTTATCCATGGGTGTGTACTCCCATCACTTGTTTATCCACAACTGAACTAAATGGCTCGCATAGATCAAATGGGATGAGGTGCAGTTCGCATGGAATGTTATAACATGTGCTCGTGACTGGGCTCGGTTCGAAGCTTGGCTCAAAACTTGGTTCGCTAATGTGGACACAGCCTAACACGAACCACTGGAGTAAATGGGAAGCAGTATTCTCTATGCAGTACATGCAACAACTTACTTACTTACTCATGGAGTTGAGTCCTTCTTGAGGAGCCACCAATTCTGCAGCTACTCAAGAAAATCCCAGCATTTATGGAACACAAATATTCATTACCATGTTCACAAGAGTCCTCCACTAGTCCCTAGATCAATCCCATCCTATCTCTCTAAGATTCACTTTAATATTATCCACCCACCTATGCCTTGGTCTTCCCAGTGGTCTCTTTCCTTCTGGCTTTCCCACCAATATCCTGTATACACTCCTTGTCTCCCCCATTCATGCTGCATGCCCTGCCTACCTCATCCTTCTTCACTTGACCATTCTAATTATACTTGAAGAACAGCACAAGTTATGAAGCTCCTCATTATGCAGTTTTCTCCAAACTCCTGTCACTTCATCTCTCTTCAGTCCAAATATTCTCAACACCCTCAGTCTATATTTCTTGCTTAATGTCAGAGACCAAGTTTCACGCCCATACAGAACCACAGGCAAAATTATAGTTTTGTATATTCTAATTGTTATGTTTTTGGACAGCAGATGAGAAGACAAAAGATTCTGGACTTAAAGGTAACAAGCATTACCTGAGTTCAATCTCCTCTTAAATTCCTCCTGAAACAGGTTTTATTTGATATTGTTGTTCCCAACTATCTGAACTGTGCCACATTTTCAAAACATCTGTTTCCTATCTTTATGTCACGATTTTGCCCTGCATTTTGGTGATGAGACAGCAACATATACTTAGTTTTCTCTGTGTTTACTTCTAGACCAACCTCCTTTACTTGCATCAATGCACCATCTACCTGATGCAATAATGGAAGATCTGCAATACACAATAGCGTGCAGAATTTCCATAAATTAAGAAAATGACACCAGATAAGGAATTATCACAAAGAGACCTTTAGTATTTGTACATTATGAACCCAATGAAATAATAATACAAACTTCCAAGTTTTTTAGAACCAGAATTATGCAAGTAATAATACAATTTAGAATTGAAGAGTTGTTGCCGGATCCAAGTTTCATGACAATCAGTTCAGATATTCAAGTCATATTATCACAAGACTATTACTACTTTTAGCCCCTGGGGCTAAAGTAACATCGTTACCAATTGCCAACCATGTATCAGTATGTATACAGAGTGATTAACAAAGTTTTACCCTGGCTTATGGTACATATTCCTGGGGTTATTTCCTGCAAAATTTCCTTATAAACTTGTGGTCGATTTTCAATAGTTACGGAGTAACAATAGATTTTCGAAATGCATCATTGCGAATGCAGCACTATGCTTCCCTCCTGGGCGACCTTGCGTTCCAGTCAGCTGTGTCAGCAGATAAGGCAGACCGGCTGGAATGTTGCGCGTAGGTAGGCAGAGCAATCCAGTAGTAAAACAGGACGTTGTGTTGGTGACTTTGTGAAGTTAAGATGCCATACACATTTACCACTGAAGAATACGCTGATATGGTATTTGTTTTGGGTGTCTGTGTTGGAAATGCGAGAGCCGCTGCTGCCGAATATCACCGGCGTTATCCTAATAGCAGGATTCCGAATCCTAAATCCATTAGCACTACACTCAGCATATTAAGACAAACTGGTTCTGTCCCAAACGTTTGTATACAATACGAACGAAATCCTCAACATGAATTGTGCGAAGAAGAAATATTCTCGATGCTGTAGAGCACAGTCCACGTGCCAGTACAAGATGTCTAGCTCGGCGGTTCGGTGTTTCTCAGTCCATGGCGTTGAGGACTCTTCATGAGAACGGGCTGCATCCTTATCATTTACAACAAGTACAACACCTACAACCAGGAGACTGTGCTCTTTGTCTGCAGTTCTGCAACTGGTTAAATGGAAATCGGCAGTTGTACTGCTTGATAATGTTCTGCGATGAGGCAGGACGGGGTCAACAACAGTCACAACTTACATGTTTGGGCAGACAATAATCCCCGTGCCACGACACAATCAAATTTTCAACACCAATTCAGTGTCAATGTCTAGTGTGGTGTTCTGTATGATCAGCTAATCGGGCCGTTCATTTTTCCTGGCCGCTTCACTGGTGAGATTTACCTCCACTTCTTAGAAGAAGAATTACCACAGTTACTTGAAGATGTTCCTCTGGCAACAAAACGCTGGATGTACTTTCAGCATGATGGGACGCCTCCTCACTTCTCCCGCGCAGTAGCAGCTCACTTGGATTGGCATTTCCCACAGTGGTGGATTGGTCGCAGAGGCCATAACACCTGGCCTACCAGGTTGCCAATCTAACACCGTTAGATTATTGCATTTGGGGCTGGATGAAGGACATTGTGAACCAGGTAAAGGTACAAACATGCGAAGCGTTGCTTGAATGAATTCTGGACGCGGCGATAACAATAAGGAACAAATGTGTGGAACTGCGAAATGCTACAAGCGCGGTTCATACGCATGCGACGCGTTGTGTTGATGTGCAGGGAGACATTTTTTGAAAATCTTATGTAAATCCAGTCGTCTTCTAAAGCACCATAGTTTAAAGGAAACAGATTGATAGAAGGGTGTGATATGCAACCAGTGGTATGTTTACAGAATGGGATGCTAAAAAAATTTAATTTTGTAACATAAAATTGATGAAAAATGTTGCACAATGCAAAATTAAGAAACTGAAGAAAAAAAATTGGTTTTAGAATTCTTTTTCCTAAAACATTAACAATTTAAAAAGTGTTTGTATTGTATTTCTAATTTGTTTTGACTGAAATTCGAAGAAAAAAAGATTTTTCACCAGTTTTCAAATTACTGTATCTCTTTAATTATGAGCTGAATACCATTAGTATATTAAAATTTGTTGTTCCAAATTACCTCAGGAATTCCCTCCCTAAGTGGGGGTAAAACTTCGTGAATCACCCTGTATAGTGCAAATAATAATTTATTTAATTACCCCCAAATCCCTCTTTGTAATAAATCTTCTTTGTTCCCTGCTTATGAAAGAAATACCCTGCAGTCTTGGCTGGGTGGTGGCAGCTACAAAGTCTTCTTAAATTAACATGTCCATTTAACCCCTCCTATGCAAGGGCGTAACAGTGTACATATACAAAATTAAACATAATTATCAAAAAATTTGCAATTTGCCTCTGTCACAACTTCAGATCATCCATTTTGAGATGTACCAACATCTATATCCAGAAACAGCCAGCCTGTGGTGACAGCAACATTATAATATGCACTCTACAAACAAGTGCTTATTAATTTCCAAATATTAAGTGTACATATTTATCAATTAAGTTCATTTACACTCCCTGGCATTGGTACCACAGAAAATATCTAGCTGGACTGTGCTGCTACCTAGACTGTCGTGAAGCTGGACTGTGCTGCTACCTAGTGATACACATAGAAAACCTATTAGATTCATTACAGCTGTTTTACTTCCATTTGTGACCTATTTACTGTCTCTCGCTCATTTGTGTCCTACCTTGCCATATAGCTCTTAGATATTTTCATTCAGTCGTCAAGTTGTAAATCTGTCGCATGGCTGAATCATGATTTGAAACTTGACCACTGGAATGATATCATCTTTGCTATGCCTGTGATCCAGTGGGACAGTGCCAATGGGCAATGGAATGCTTCAATGTTGTCTCCTGTCAGAACCCTGACCATAACAGTAACCATGCCAATAGCAGCTGGAAGAATTTTTCCCAATGTATGGGGCTTTCTCTACCATTAAATTGTACAGGACGGAGTAGAGGAAATGCATGTTTTTCAAATGGCTAGTACTCGGCAATTCTGGAGTTGATGACCTTGGGTGTGAGCCCGTAGACAGCATAGACAATGCAATTTCAGTAGCCATGGTGCATTGGAATGTAGAGTATCGTGTTTTTGCTGTCAAATAGTTTTTTTAGAAACAGTGATTTTGTATTGTTTCATTTTGGTCCGTTACACTATTAATCACCAATTGTCAATAGATTTTCCGTCAAGTGCAACAATATATATTTTGGTCACTTATTTATCTCATCTGCCTTACATGTTTCGGTTCCAAGGAACCATCTTCAGAGGCACTTACAACAAATCATGAAAACACTGGCACAGCTCAACATCCACAAAGTGCAAGTGCTATACCTGCATTCAAGATACTGGGAAGTGTTGTGCTTTACACTCCGATATATGTAATAGTTTCCACAAATAACTACATACTGTGGATGTTGAGCTGTGCCAGTGTTTTCATGATTTGTTGTAAGTGCCTCTGAAGATGGTTCCTTGGAACCGAAACATGTAAGGCAGATGAGATAAATAAGTGACCAAAATATATATTGTTGCACTTGACGGAAAATCTATTGACAATTAGTGATTCTGTAGTTACTGTCCAATGTCTTTTCCATTGAAAGTTCAATGTTGAGCATCGAGGAACAATTCCGGATCATAACACTATACTCCGATGGGTTGACGCATTTATAACTACTGGATCTGTCATGAAGAGGAAATCACCTGGATTCTCCATTCAGTATGGAACCCAGAAAATGTTTACACAGTGAGAAGGGCGGTTCTTGCTAGTCCCAGACGTTCTGCTAGGTGTCAGGCATTAGCTTTGAGTATGTCACGTTGTTTGCTACATTGCATCCTACACAAAGAGTTACAATTTCATCACTACAAAATAATGATTGTCCACCAGCTGGCCAAAGGGATTTTGCACAACGCAGAGAGTTTTGTGAGGAAATGCTCACCATACTTACTGAAGATGCTAACAACATCGTAATGATGAGTGATGAAGCACATTTCCATCTGAAGGATTTGTAAACAAACAAAACAGCCGGTTCTGGTCAGGGGAGAACACACAAGAGTTACACCAAATACCTCTCCACAGCTCAAAAGTGACAGTGTGGTGCAGTTAGGGATCCTTGGTCCCTACTTTTTTGAAGAAGGGGAAACTGCAGTTACAGTGACTTCGGCGCTCTACATCGACATGTTAAACAACTTCCTGCATCCAGAACTCCTAAGGCATCAGGTAATCATGAGACAAATGTAGTTCCAACAGGATGGCACCACAGCTACCACAGCAAGAGCATCAATGGAAGTTGTTCGATGCATGTTCCCTCAACATGTGATCTCGCGTTTTGGTGATGTTTCTTGGCCCCTGCGCTCCCTTGATCTATTGGTTTGTGGGATACCTCAAGACAAAAGTGTACACAAACAGACAACAAATGATCCAAGAGTTGAAACTTTCCATTCATCAAGAAATCACAGCTGGGCTGGAAGACATGTTGGAGAATGCGAAGCAGAATTTTGAGGAGAGGCTCCAACTGTATGTCCAGCAAGGTCATCATCTGACTGACATTATTTTCCACAAGTAATGTAAGTTAAAAATGCGTTAAAATACTTTCTTTTTGTGTAATTAAAAAGGTTTTATCTTGAAAATCAACAAAGTTATTCTTATGTTAAAAACATGCGTTTCCTCTGCTCCACCCTGTATATGCATGTTCATCACAATCCTTTAGAATCTATTGGCTGATATTGTGAGCCCCTAGATGTCATAACCAACAGGTTGAGAGCCCCTGAATTTAACCTGCAGTATTCCTTTGCCTAGCTATACACTGATGCACATATATCATATTATGCACTATTTAAGAAAAACCGAACATATGCAACTAAATTAGCACTCACACTTTTCACTGTACCTGTACAAATTCATCAACATATTAAAATTCACACTTCAAAAGCATTTGTCTCACCTAGAACTAAAAAATGGCTGACCATCAGAGAGTGTTTTTGTAATCTCATACATTCTATGTTCACAGTGTACAGTTGCAAAACTGAATAGGACGGCATGTTATCCTATATAATTCTACTAGTACACAAGGAACTAATGTACATGGACACATACATGTATATGGGCCTCACTTTGTGCAGAAGATGGGCTACTATATTCAGTCCCAGTTCTCTTCTTCAGGAAGTTCAGGAAGAGGAGGGCAAGTCACTGTAGTGTCTATAGTTTCAACTGCATTGGTTTCACTTTTAGGAATATTCTTTTGGTCCTTCCATTCACTTCCTTTCTTGTCTCTCCAGTTCTCACTGTTACCAGTCCTGTTTCTAGGTCTAAATGTTCCTTCACCTCTCTGTGTCTGCTTGCCATAAAAGTCGTAATCCTTCTCAAAACGATCATCGTGGCCCCACCGCTCACTTTTCTGTCCACGAGGAGAGCCCCATACATCCTCATTTTGATCCACATCTTGTTTCATATGGCCCAAATGCTTTTTCCAACCTTGTTCCTCTCTTGATGAACTCAATTTCTTTCCCTCATCACAATCACCACTACCATAAGTACCAGCTTTGATTCCATCTACCCTTGCTTGGTTAGGTTTTTCTCCAGTTTTTCTTCCACTTCCAAAACCGGGTTTTGCACCAAGCAGTTCTGTCCTTGCTGCAGTATTTCTTGGCCTGAATGCACCATTCTCAATTATGGTCTGATCAACAGAATTGCACTTGGCCAGTATGCCACTTGCATCTTCACCGACCAATTTCTTTTCAACAGACTCAGGCATGTCTGGTACAGAGACATGATTCAGTTCTGTGTGGGTATTATTTGTGTCAACTTTAAGGCCCAATTGGAGACGCTGGAGCTGCATGATGGCATTTGCTCCCAGGTGCACCTGCAATCCATTACATAACATAAGCACACATTCAATAATGGGTATTAAACAACCTGAAAATTGATCACTGCTAGGACAATTCGCCACTACATCCAGAAAAATAAAGCATATCACTGAAATTAATTTCTGTAAACCTTTCAAGAATACATATATTGGCAACTGAGCTTGTTTGTATATCAAATCGGACTCAGTCTGACATTCAAATGGAACATTTTTCTGATGTAAGGAAAAACCCGACATCTCAGATTACATGACTGTATACCAGAAACCCCAAACATGACTCCTGTCAATGTTAGAGTACAATATATGACCTAAAAAGAGCTATATTTGCTTGCACACCCTTACATCTGGATGAGAAATTTCTGGAGAAAAATATTACATGCTATATTTTTATTCCAAAAATTTAGCTTCATACTGTCACATGTTTATGGCTCTGAGACCAATAATAATGGGTTCTAGGCTGGATGACTGGATTTATTAACACCTTCTTTTACAATCACTCTTAATCATAATCAATTATAACAGCTCACAATCAATGACTGCTTAAGACTTGCTCCATTCTGGCTGGACTATAACTGTCTTGTCTTCTAGTCTTTCTTCTACAGTGACTGACTTGGTTCTGATTTACAAATCATTCACTTCTGATTCATGAATGAATTACAAATGATGAAGGACCAGTCGCTTATGAATGAACAATGAATGCATGCAAGTCAAAGTCACATTGCAACTGGCAGTCAGTAAATCTTGGTGTCGAGCCCCAGGTTTGACAGTGACGGTCTTGTTTTTGTGGGGCGCCCTATCTGACTAGAGGACGGGTCTGTCTTTTGTATATGCTGCTGGTCCTTGCCAGCACAGTCTTTCTCAGGTCTGAGTCCCTTGGTACTTGCGACCATACATTACTGTCTCAATTCTGAGATGTCCCTTTTTGCCACCTCGTACGACTTGCAGGGTCGCAGTGGAGGTATTCGATCCCGCTTCCACACAGGCAATGAATGCATTCTCAGTCAGAGTCAGAGTCAGAGTCAGAGTTACATTGCGACTGACGGTCGGTCAGTCAGTCAGGTAGTATGTGTGCCGAGCCCCAACATGTTAATTATTATCATTTGACAGTTACGGTCTTGTTTCTGTGGGGCGCCTTCTCTGACGAGAGGACGGGTCTGTCTTTTGTATATGCTGCTGGCTCTTGCCAGCGCAAAGACTGTGCTGGCAAGGACCATCAGCATATACAAAAGACAGACCCGTCCTCTAGTCAGATAGGGCGCCCCACAAAATCAAGACCGTAACTTATCTGCACATCTGCTTTTATAGTGTAGCAGTAACCATGGAAAATGTTTGTTGCTTGTTCATATCCACGGAAACCTATGCTGAATCTTAGTTTACATGGAGATGCTTTTTGTACTGAGTTGTTTCCTAGAAATCCACCTCTATAGAAATGTGTGTTAATTTCACAGTAACACTCTGGTTTCCATAAGTTTACTTCCATTTTTCGTGTCCCACGAAACATTTTCAATAACCAGTTCTAAGAATCACTCTCTATGGAAATGTGTTTTGTCACCTTGTTTCCTAGAAATGGGTCTACATGACACAATATTATTGGTAAGTATAAGTAAGTATAAATATTGAATTGTGTAATTAGCGCCCTTGCACCCTCATACTCTTGCACACTGCCTGCTCCTGATTCATGTATTACCAGTTTGAACAAACACGTGCCAATGCTTCCCCAGAAAGGCCCACAGACATTAACACTTAATTAGATCATGAAATACAGGCAATGGAACCTGCCAATGCTTAAGGACTGGTACCTGTACACAGATGGTAAGGGAAAAGGTAAAGTGGGAGAAGCTATGAGGCAGACACTACATAAGAACTCATGATCAGTGGTGTCCACATGCTTCTTGCTGCTGGTGAGTGTGCAGTAGATATTATCACAGTATAAGGGAATGCCAAATTGCATCCTATCAAATTTGGTTGCTGAAATGTCTCACACACACACAGGTAGTATGTACAAATACAGAATTTCGACTACTACCATTTACTTTAACCCCACATGGGAGGAGTCATATCTTTCTATTGAATTTATATATTGGTCAGGTGTTATGGTTGTTTCAATCTTTTTAATGAACTGTAAAAGTACAACCTTTAGCAACATTACACTTCACACCTCACCAATGCATTTATTAATATAAATGCAGGATTCATTTTGTAAATGAATAAATATGACTAAGAGAAATAATTGTTAAGTAAGTCAGTTAATTAACTACAATTCATGTTTCAATACACATTACTTTGCTTTATCTATAAAAAGGGCATTTCAAATTAAATACATCCCTCTGTCTTCTGCTTAACAAATATCTTGGAACTAAAATGAGAAATTCAGCGTATACATGTCTGTCTAATTTTCAGACAAGTGTGGAGGCATTATTTGCCATTATTGGAGCCCACAAAACTTTTATGCACATCTATAGTCACTCAGTAATGATGAAGTCACTGTTGCCATGCAAAACTCATCAGATGTGACACCTCTCATATCTCTGGCCAACACTCTCTGCCATAATACTGCTATCTCTGGCACTCTTGCTCACACAGACCATGCCAGTCAAACATGGGAAGTGCAAAATTAGTGTCATATACAGAAATTACCTGAGCATGCCTGCAAGGGAGGGGGGGGAAGACTGTTGCACAATCTGTCATGTCACTTTTAAATAATTTGAAAACAAAAATAGGACACTACAGATATAAACCTTCTGGCAACATGACAATAAATTTAAATAATCCAATGTACTGGGAGCAGGCCTCAGGCAGAAATTTCTGGTTAAACATGGACCTCTGGGTACAATTATAAAGCTTATTCTACTAGTGCAGACTTTCAGTCCTATAAATCCTGCATTGTTAATATCTTATTTAGATAATATGAACTTATAGTTCAAGAATAAAATTCAGTTTAGCTCAACTGCTAATGTTCTGGACTTATAGGTGCATGATTATGTGATGAAATCCTTCTTTTCTTATTGAAATGGAGGATGGACAGACATAGAGACAGCATGGCGAACTCATAAGCTTACTTTCTTTTTTTAAGCAAAATACATTACGTGGGTAAGAGGGGACTTTGGAAAGTAATGAGATTACTCCCATTACTCATTATCTGAGTACTGGGAATTTTTTTTTCTGAAATAATGCCCTTTACACACTACATACATTTTGCAGTGCCCCACCCACTTCTCAAACACTTGTATATAGCCATTTCCGGACATCCTGCATAGGGTAGTGCCAGTGGCTTGTCTCATTTCAGTTTCAATGCGAAATTTCTGTCCTTATAGCTGTATTTATGCACTACAAATGCACGGGAGCCATATGGAGACTGCAGGTTGGGTGTTCCAGAGGTGTTCCATCAATGTCTGCTAGTCCTCAGTCATCACATGTGCATTGTCTTGAAGCAGAAACGATAATTTCTTCAAGAAATCTGTTCTCTTTTTCTGAATAACATTCCTCAAATGATTCTGAAGTGCATTTTCATAGTAAACACCACTCACAACTTGCTTCAGAAGCAGCCAGTGCTGAAGAATAATACCTCCTGAGTTAAAATCAGATTTGAGGTTTTCACAGCAGTGACTATGAAGAATGCCGTCTTCTGGGATGTGGTGTCGTGTAGATCCTGTGTGAACCGATGTTTCAGAGGAACATATCACCTCCATCTTCAGGACAGACAAATATGCAAGCAGGGAACAAGCTTGAGCAGATGGCTGCAGCTCGCGGATTTTTCTAATATGACCTTCACTGTTCCTGATGATGATCCTGTGCAAAATTTCTTGGTGGACAATTTTCATGTTCCCATACAGTTTACTGTTGTTTTGATTCCAGGTTATAATGCCTTATCCAAAACTCAGCAGAAATTATGGATGAGAGAAAGTCAGGGGTTTGTTTAACAAGAGTAACATTTTTTTGATAGACTTCCAGATGCTTTCGTTTCTGCTCATTGTTGAGGTCACAAGGAACCCACCTTGCCCACACTTGACTTATGCCTAACTCCATTGTAATGATATGGTGAACCCTTTCAAATGACACGTTTAAACTGAGAGGCAATTCCTGTAACACTATTCTCCTGTCCTCCTTCAACAGTTGTTCTGCTCTATCAATATTCAAATCTCTGACAGCAGTATCTGGTCTCCCACTCTGAATGTCAACTGTCCTTTCATTTTTGTCTTCAAAATGATTTCACCATCGAGACACTGTATCTCAGCTGATTGCTTCTGCTACACATGCATTCTGTAACATCTATTCATTATGTAAGATTTGAGGCTTTCACAGTGGTGACTATGAAGAAAGCAGTCTTCTAGGATTTGGCACCATGTATATGTGGTGTTAACCGACGTTTCGGAGGAACGTATCGCCTCCATCTTCAGGGTAGAAGAAAAAATATAAGAAATCTGCAAGCGAAGAGACCGTAAGCACACAGTCTGCTTTTACCGGTTCTTACGGTCTATTCGCTTGCAGATTTCTTCTATTTTTTCTTCTACCCTGAAGATGGAGGCGATACGTTTCTCCGAAACGTCGGTTAACACCACATATACACGGTGCCAAATCCCAGAAGACTGCTTTCTTCATCTATTCATTACTTTTTCTGAGCTTCACACAAAATTCTACTGCACATCTCTGCCTTAGAACATATGACATATCATTCCGCTCAAACACTACAAAACAGAGTTCTCATAAAAGCTTACACACACACACACACACACACATGAAAAATGATGACTTTTGCTCTAGTAGCTGAACACACTTGAGGAATCAAAACAGCAGCACATGTAACATCTCAATCAAGGCCACTAAAGATTACTGGTCTAGCCTCTCTCATTAGTTTTCAAACTCCCTATTTAATAGAGTATATTAGCGTCTGCCACCCAAGTGGTATCTTTTCTCTCTTGAAGTGTTTCCAATACATATTTCAACTTCCTCCCTCTTGAAGAAGAAAGTCGTCTTTTGGGATCTGGCGCCGTGTATTCTTGGTTTTAACCAACATTTCGGAGGAACATCTTCATGGTAGTTGAGTTGCGTGCGAATACAGATAGCACTTCCTCGCACTTTTATCATCGATTTATAATACCCTCATGATGGTACAAAAATGAATATATATAGGTCAACCTAGAATAACAAATTTGATTAAAACTGAACAGTTTCATGATTGGTGACACATGTGGGAGTACAGATGAACAATCAGACAGAACCTCACTCAAATACCTACACTTCGAGCAAAGAACATTTGAAAGAAAACTGAACAGATGGGTCACGATGAATTGAAGTGAATATCCAGAAAACTGAGATGGTGTCATTAAATTGTATCGAGTTAATCAGAAGCTATGAATGCTCATAACTGCATGCATCAACATATAAGAAAGCAGACACCTGATAAAATGCCTGCAGCTGCCCTGACAGTGGGGCATAGCGATTGGTTGCAAGATCCAGGGCAAGCAGCAACCAACAGCGACACTGTCCACTCAAGTTCCGGGACATGAGGGTTGTCCGAACACGCAGCATCAATTCTTCCAGCTCACCTGCCCGGCAGTCATACAGCTTCCGGCCATTTACTGCCAGCTGCACAACAGAAAGGTGCAAACTTCAACCTTTTCATTAGCATCCCAACACAAAGATTCATTCCATTCATTTCATAAGAACTAAGAGGTTGAAACACTGGGCAGAAACCCACAATATCCACTTTCAATTTAACCAGTGTAATGTGCGCTGATGCTTCAGCATGAAAACTGGAGCAACAAAAATGATATAAATACAAACAGATTTTCAACTTTCACAAATTCACAGAATGGATTCAAATTCTCATACACATAACCAGTACCTTTATCTGGGGGAGGGGGAACAGGGGTACTCAAGCACATGCACCGTTCCAAATTATATAACTAAGTGACAAATTTTCATGAAAACATTCAATATATCAATCCATATGTGATCTCACATTGATGTATGTTCATTTTCAAGAAATGATGTTATGGCAATTTGTTTTGCTAAGGAATTCCAATTTTTGCAAGAAAAATGAAGGACAGTACAGCTATCATACAGCCAGAAGAAAAGCACTGCATATACCTCATGGCTGTTCTACTCAGCCCAGTGTGTTAACCTTTATCACCTTCCAGTATTCCTGTCATACGAAACACTGCATTTTGCGAGTGAACCACCTGATGATTCTTTCCACCACCAAACATACTGGTATGTACTCACACTGCTACATGCTTTGAAGTTTGAAGCTGAAATGAAGATATGACAACAGCAATGCATTTCCACCCAAGCTTCAGCATCCTACTTCACATGCAGGTGGGAAAAAGGATCTTTAACCACGGAGAAACTCTACTTTAGGGAAAATGCCAGGTCTTCAAAGAGAAATTGCAGGCATAATACAATTTGAATTGTAATATACAGAGTGATTCAGAAAGATGGACACAATTTCAATTGGCTATATTTCCTTAACTATAGATTGCATTTGAATTCTGTAAAGTACATTTGAAAGAGGATGTTGTAAAGTTTCTAATATTACTGCTAGAGCACTCCAGCACCGTGTCAGTTGTAAGCGAGATGGCTACTATGCAACACAAGATTTTTTGCATTCATGAGTTCAGTAAAAGTGAGTCTGCGACTGCGATGCATTGTGCATTTCGTCGCAAGTTTAACATCCAACCTCCAACGAGGAAGAGCATTTATTGTTGGAATAAACAATTTGATGAAACTGGCTCTCTGTGTAAGGGTAAAAGCCCGGGCCGATCTCGTGTATCGGAGTAGAACGTGGAGCGCATTCGAGTGAGCTTTGAGCGTAGCCCAATGAAGTCAACCCGTAGTGCTAGTAGAGAACTTGGACTATCACAAACAACTGTCTGGCATGTACTGAGGCACCACTTAGTGTACAAACCATACCACCTACAACTGGTACAGGCTCTTCGTGCAAACGATAAGGTAAAGCGTGTAGAATTTTGTGACTGTATGCTCAAAATCATGGAAGATGAATTGTTTCTGCGATGAAGCTACATTTCACCTAAGTGGGAAAGTCAACAGGCACAATGTTCGCGTATGGGGGGCTACAAAATCCCGGTCTAACACTCGAACATGCGAGGGACAGCCCGAAAGTTAATGTGTTCTTTGCAATATCGTTAACAAAGGTTTTTGGACCTTTCTTTTTTGATGAAAACACTGTTGAGTAACGTATCTTAGAATGCTGCAAAACTGGCTTGTTCCTCAAATGAATGAAGATTCAGGAGATTACATTTTCCAGCAGGACGGAGCTCCACCCCATTGGCACCTGAATGTTCCAACGTTTCCCGAATGAATCTCTACCTCAACGATGGATAGGTCGCATGGGGAATGAAGACCTGGCACTTCAGTTCTGACCACCGAGGTCTCCTGATCTCACACCCTGCGACTTTTTCCTGTGGGGATTCGTGAAAGATGCAGCTTACGTACCACCTCTTCCCACAAATCTGAATGGCCTAAGAAACCGTATCACAACTGCGGTGAACTTAGTGACGCAAGATATTTGTCATCGAGTGTGGGATGAATTCAGCTACCGTCTAGATGTTATCCGTGCAGCCGGAGGGGGGCACACTGAACATCTATAAACTTCCATGTATGTATAATCAAATGTAATTTACAGAATTCAAATGCAATATATAATTCAGGAAATACAGCCAACTGAAACTGTGTCCATCTTTCTGAATTATCCTGTATAAATGGGGACAGTCTACAGAACAATATTTTCAAAAAAGAAATAAATAAAATACACAATACTGTATCAACATTTGTTTATTGGCTGTTGACGCTACATGTTTCAACCCTTATGTTGGATCATCATCAGGTGTATGACTACTACATATGATATATTGTTTCAAGTGGTAGGAATGAGACTGAACTGCTACAACATAACATCATCATAACGGGGAACTGCCTTTACACATAACATTAAACAATTTAGAATACAGCACTCCAAATATAAACAACCTATTGAGTGATACACAGTATAACGAGCATAAGCTTCACACAACAAAAGGAAGGTCAAATGAACACAACCTAATTTATGAAAGAGGAGCTTGGCACGCAGGCACCCCACACCATAATTATTCCTACCACCTGGAACATTATATCAATACGTAGTGGTCACAAAGTTTTAAATAGGTTTATAACATATTTTTTTTAATGTTAGTGGGGTGGGACTAAGTCCCTTGTATTGTGGCCACTTCTGGCCTATTGTACCAGCCCCAGATGATAGGTCAGGGTGATTATGGAGCAATTGGTGGAATGAAGATTGGCAGGAGAAACCGAAGTACTTGGAGTAAACCTGCCCCAGCACCACTTTGTCCACCACAAATCCCACTTGGCCAGAACCAGGATCGAACCCGGGCCACCACGATGGGATATAACATATATTACAAATATCTCAATTTTTGTACAATTTTAATTTTAATTTTTACTGTCTACACATCGAGATTTTAATTGTAAATTCAAATTATGTATATAAAACTCATAAGAACACAATATGGATCCATACTGAATTAAAATGCAATTCAAGAAGTAATACTAGTGTTATTATATGTCTGATGATGACTCAGCATAAGGGTCAAAACATGTAGCGTCAACAGCCAATAAACTATTTTGCTTTATTTGGATATGTTGTTGTGTAGACTGCCCCCATTATATATATATATATATATCATACATATGACACAATAGGATGCATACTGAAAAAATAATTAAAATTCTTTACAAACATCTACAGTTTTCAAATGAGCATGCCATGCCTTATTTTTTTTTATTGCTAGTGGGGTGGGACTAAGTCCCTTGTACTGCGGTCACTTCTGGCCCATTGTACCATTCCATGCCTTATACTTTTATGTTCAATTTAATTTACTCCATTCTCAAATCATCCCTGAATCTTTACCAACTCTTCACTGAGACAATTCATACTAACAATAAAACCCAGACAGACAACTGTTTGCTGTTGTTAGGAATGCTATTTATTTATAAAACAACAAATGACGAACCTGAGTTGTAAACAGTTCCATCTCATGTTCCTCCCCACTCAGCAGCATGTCTTGGTACTGAAGTACAGCTGATGCCAGAATGTTTATGGGTGATCCATCTGGAAGACGCACCTGATGGAAGATCTCACCCAAGAGAGCAATAGCATTCAGAAACTTCAGGTTGCAAGCTGTCTGGAGATGTGCCCGATCTAACAGAACATACCCATAACAAGTATTTCAATGACAGAATTCCTTAACATACAATTTACATTTGTCTTCACACACCATCTATTAACAGAAGTGAAGGAAAAGGATGTGGTGTTATGGACTGGATTGATGCGGCTCAAGGCAGGGACCAGTGGAGGGCTCATGTGAACACAGTAATAAACCTTCGAGTTCCATAAAATGTTGGGAAGTGCTTGTGTAGCTGTGTGACTTGCGGTTTCTTGAGAAGGGCTCAGCTCCATGAAATTAGTTAGTTAGAAGGAAAAGGAATGAGCTATATACTTATATATATATATATATATCTGATTCTTACATTTGCTGCAAACATATCTTATATTAAGCAGTCTTCATTTCCTTTCTGTCCTACCTGCATAATTTTATTAAGTGTTCCAGCCTACATAATTAATGTACTAAATACTTGAACATGAAAGCCTAAATGTACTTTTAAAAACGTCTCACTACAAACCCATAATTTCTTCTCTTTTTTTAATACTGCAGGCAATGACAAATTCTTACATTACTGCATTTAACCCCTTAACGCTTTCTGATGTACTCAGGACACTGGGACATGACTAATTTTGGATCTCCTTTGCAAGATATTTAAGATATTCCACAAGTGTTTGGTATGCTCTATTCTCTTTGTCATAATTACTTATCACAGTATGGAATATCAAAAATCCATTCACTGACAAAATTTCTATTCCCTCACCAAGCTCTTTAATACCAACTGATAGAAAAAGATTACAGTCTTTTCAGATGTGATGCCACATAGTCTAGTATACAAGAACCTGCTACCTCCATCTACAGGATAGAACAGAAGTTGGTAATGAGCCACCAGGCAAAACAGCTTCATAACCCAGAAGTCAGTAATTTTCATAGTCACTGCTATGAGAGTCTCATATCACAAGTTATTGATACACACCTTGTAGAGACTTTTTGAAGCTTAACAGAAACAAGGCAATACATAATGGAACTATATCCTTCTCATAAAGGCATATGTTCAGTGCACATAATTATAGTGTTATATATGACAACAGATAAGAATTTATAACTACTTAACATCAGTTTATTTGCCATCAACTTTGGCTAATACGTTCACTCATTCCAAGAAAGAGGAGCATGTGGAAGCACAGTTGGTTGATGCATTATGCTACAAGCCAGACGGTTGCAGGTTTGATTCATGATGAGATCACTGGCTTTTTCAATTAACATAATGCTTCCAGCAGCACTATGGTCCTAAGGTCAACTCACAAGGCAATGGTCCGATCCAACATGTCGAAACCTGCCCTGATTTTTTTTCACTGCAAGAGTACACACAACAAAATCCACTGTCAAAATTTTAGCTGCTAATATGAATGGCAAGTATTTTTTAAAAATTGCTGAACATGGCCAATATTATAGCCTGCCAGACCCTTGGAGAAATGTCCACCACTAGCAGAGTAGAGCGGTTTGCAACACGGCTGACTCACAGCCTAGGCTTCCGGTGCATCATTAGAGAGATAGCACGGCACAAATGCATTGTAATCTGACAAGTACTCGTTAGTTTTTCTTTTGATAGTTACTCTGACAGTATTTGCAAGTGATTTACTATCCAGATCCAACCATAGTTACCATTTTATTTTGAGGTACGTGTTAACAGTGCACAATCGTTTGTCCTAGTTACCCAAGGTCAAGCTCGCGCTCTCTCGCCACAGCTGGGGTTGTACAAACCTCTGGTACAAGTGGTTCCATGTACACAAAAAATTAGTAACTTTGGCAATTTTTAAAAAATACTTGCAGTGCGTATTAGCAGCTAAAATTTTGACAGCGGATTTTGTTGCGTACTCTTGCAGTGAAAAAAAAAATCAGGGCAGGTTTCGACATGTCAGATCGGACCATTCCCTTGTCAGCCTCTAACAGAAATGAGTACCAGGAATCTTCCTGGGGGTAAAGGGCAGCTGGCAAGTGAGGATGACCTCCTTCCAGATACTGACTGACAAAAAACTGTAGACAAAGAATACTGGAAAGCAACACAGATGTCTGGGTCATCAAAATGAAAACATGTGACTTCACAGTTTGGTGGGTGAATGACTACTGAGCACAGAGTTGCCCAATAGTTGGCCAGCTATATTGCACAAGCATCTGCAAACAAGAAGACTGCAATCACATGCAATCTAACAGCAGGTCTAATAACTACCATAATTTTGAAGTAGTGATGAGTATAAAAAATATTTCAAGATTATCTGCAACAACTGTAATGTTATAAGTAGGGACCGGATTTTTATGCCCTAATAATCTCTTAAATATGTATGCATTTATGCATGTAAAACTTCCAAAATACGCACTAGAATATGCACATAAAAATTTATATAAAATATTAAAATTGATTTTACATTATTTTTAGACCAACAAATCAATATTTAAGTTCATATTATGTAATCACTGAATGATTCACTTGCAATAAAAAGCTATACTTAAATACAAATCATGCAACAAAGCCAACATATTTTATTACAAATTTAAAAAACCAATGGTACTCACATTTAGTTCTCTGAACTTTCAACTTCTCTTCTGTTGCAGTTCACAATTACTAAATGTTTCAGGTTTTCCATAGTTAGTCGCCTCCTATTGTCTCATAAGATGTCCTTATAGCGGGAAAAACTTGTTTCCACCTCACAGGAACTTAGGGGCGCATGTACAAAAGCTGCTATTTGCTCCACTGTTAGTGATTTTTTTACTTGGCAGTTCAGTACGTTTACCGGCTAAAATTTGTTCATATCCAGGATTTTTTTAAAGAATGCTGTGTACTTTTTCCTTTACTACTTCACCAACTCTTCCAGGAACCGAATTCAATTTGGAAACAGTGGTTTTGAACACACTTAACGACTGATACAAAGTAGTATTGCTATTGCTTGCCTCCAGTGAGGAAATGGCGGATGGAAGATGAGAGAAGTGAGCAGATATACAGGAAAGATTACTTTCTAGTTCTGCATTTTTTAGTACATCTTGGGCATTTTGAATTGATGCTGCACCTTTGGGATCAAATGTATTCTCGACATTCCTAACTGTTTCTAAATGTTCGGTATAATAACTCGCTGCACACAGCCACGTGCCCCAGCTCGTTAAAATTGGTTCTGCTGGAATTGGAACGCTCGGTGCTACTGCTTTAAAGGATTCTTTTTTGTATGGCGCTTTAACAAATACCTTCTTCACAGAAGACACCAACTTGTTAACGAGCAGAAAATTTGCATGAATTGTTTCTGCAACACGGTGCAACCCATGGGCAAGCCAAGCCAAATGTGTCATATTTGGAAATATAACTTTAAGAGCAGTACCGGCTTTCATCATATAAATTGCGGCATCAGTCACAAAGGGCAATATGCGCTCATACTGAATGCCATTTGGCCATAGTAAATTCGTGGAATTGATAAAAAAATTCAGAAACTGCGGAGCTATTTGTGGTTTCAAATTGCTCTACCGCAAGAAGATATGGGGTAGATTGTTCATTCTTATTAAGGGATCCAACTATACAATTTGCAATAAACCATCCCTCACAATCTTGTGTTTCGTCGATTGATACCCAAACAGAATTATATTGAATCTTATCTCTAATGCTTTCAATTGTAAGATTATAACACCGCTTCATGTAGATTCATCCGGCACTTTTCACTGTGTATACTTCTCTATGAAGTTTCTCAGAGTAGGAATGGTTAGTTTCCACAGCAGAATATCTGCCACTAAAAAGGCTTCACACATATCAAAGGAAAACTGTGAAAAACTATTATTAGAAAATTCATTATGCAATTTTTGAACAGGAGCACTTTTCGTGGATTTAATTTTAATATTCTCTTTGTGTATATTAGTGTTCAAATGCACTTGAAAGCGTTTTTCACAACCAACTGTTTTCTCATAGGCTGGGCAATAAAGAATTGTTATCTGTACTTATCATCTCTCCTTTGAACTCCCGCTGATACAGCTGTAATTTAGTTTTCTGACTTACGTTCACTTTCGGCACGACTACAGAAAGCTAAACAAACTTAACTACAGACTAGTCACCACTAATGTGAATGGCCCCCAGCTTCAAATGAAGAAGCGTAACGAACCTCATGGAGACTTCGGAAAAAATAGGTGAAATCCCTTATCGGTTGAATTGTATTACGTTGATAGCGGCTACATGTGAACACTTCCGACTAGCTCTTTGTGGCCACTTTGATGGTACGTGGATGAGGCAAGTTACGAGTAGAGGGATCAGGGAAGTCCCGTCCTGGGTACTGCATCAGAAACATGAATCATGACAAAATGTTGAGTCAAATATGCAACATATTCTAATACAGAAAAGAAAAATTGTATACACACGACCATGATTGAAAATTTGAACATAAAATTAGAAAAGATATATGATAAACATCTTAAAAAGGAAATATGCAGTATAAATAGAGATCTCTGAAAATATGATGCTTATTCATAAAACAGGCAAAATATGCATTTATATGCACCATCAAACCCTGTCCAAAATTTAAGAAATTAAGTAATTCATACTTTCTGGTTCCAAGAAAGAAATATGCATTTGCATTAAAATCTGGTCCCTAGTTATAAGAAAATATCTGTGATTGCTACTAGTGACAAAGTCACAGGTACTCCTACTGCTACTGTGGTTTGTTGCCTACATTCCTGATCGAAGGAAATACTAAATTTCAGTTAGGGTTAATGAAAATAAAGATATAATTTTTTTCCCATCCAAGATCATGGATCCCCTGAAATTTATCCACAGACCCCAAGGTAAGAACCTGTAATAGACAATCAGGAGTCATTCTGAGGAAGACAAACTGTGTCAGTGCATCATTCTAGCCTTCCTCTTTGCAGTGGTATTAACACACCATTTGTTCACAGAATTACTGGGGTTTTGGACTTTTTGCACTGTCCAGAAGTCTAGGTAATAGAGGACATGACATTTCGGAAACTGGACCTGTTTTCGTCTTCAGGTGAGAAAGGAAGACACCTACTCAGTTGGGCCCCTTAGAAAGAGCTAATCTCAGTCACTGGACCTGGCATTTCTAAGGGGCCCAACTGAGTAGGTGTCTTCCTGTCTCACCTGAAGACGGAAACAGATCCAGTTTCCGAAACGTCGTGTCCTCTGTTACCTAGAATTCTGAGCAATGGAAAAAGTCCAAAACTCCAGTAATCCCGTGTGTCATCCACCATCGTCAGAACCCTTTAGAATCTACACCATTTGTTGTAACACTTTTGTGAGTTTTATAACAGGTTTTTTTGAAGGGTCTGCATATGTTCTTCTCTGTAGTTATATTCCAATAGTGTGTTCCAGTGGGCATGCATTGGACAGCATGCATGACAACTTGGATGCTTTCAGTGAATTTAGTCAGGATTCAGGTATTGGTATATCTGATCCTATTGCTCCTGATGCTGAAATAAAAGGGGCTGATTTAAGTGACAGTTGCAGTAATTCTGGCGATGATCAAGCAAATGTGAACGGAGGTGGTGGTGGCTGTGACAAACACATTGATAATGAAGATTGGGCTCTCTGGGATGAAAATGACCATGATTTCTGTATAATATTTTGTGCCTCACCTGGTTATAAACTATCTCAAAACAGACAAGTGTCTATTTCACCACATGTATTCTTATGCTATTTTTAGCGCAACTTTGTTTGAGGTAATAGCTGCTGAAACAAACAGATATGTAAGTAAAAAAAAAACCTGTATAACATGAATGGGCAGCCAGCAAAACTTCCAACTTTGTCTCACCTGTAGTTCCACAAGAAAGTGACTGAAGGATTGGTAGGAAACATTTAAAACAAAATGACCCAAAAGAGAAAAATAGACCATCTGAATGGCAAACTGCACCTAATTCAGGCACCTGATGGGGAAAGTAACAACAGATTGTGCAGGATTTCAGGTTCTCACAGCAGTAGTTATGAAGAGTACTATCTTCTGGGATATAACACCATGCAGTCTGCTGAAAGTCAACTTACATTTTGGAGGAAATTCTTTGACACTGAAGATGGACGCAATCAGTTACTCCTAAACAACAGATGACTTTCAACAGACTACACGGAATTATATCCCAGAAGATACTGCTCTCCAAGGATTATGCAGTTTGCTCCAATTCAGAAGTGAAAGGATTCAGAGGAGAAATATTGTTTTATTGTGACATGTGTCCAAAAAGCAAGGACTCCCCCACAACAAGTGTTTCCCACACATTTACAGTAAAGAAGAATTGTTCAGTATGTAGCTAATATAAATAGTTTAGCGGCCTCCGTAGTCTAGGGTTAACGTTCCCACCTCATGACTCAAGGTACGCGGGTTCAAACCCGGCAGAGGTTGTGAAATTTTTAAGGGCGGAAAAATTCAGGGAACAAGTCCTCCGGGAGGTACTTTAAGCCATGCGTCCCGTGTCGTAGTTTTACGGCAAGTAAAAGAACCTCATGTCTCAAGGAGACCACTGAGCCAAATTTGTAAGGACATTTCCCGCCCAACAATAGTCTCTAACGCCTCTGGCAGATGGGGGAAGCATCTAGATACCATTGAGCCAGTAGAGGCTGAACTCGCTGGCTGAGTCGGGACTGATGGCACGCACCAATACTGGTAGGGTATACAGACTGGTAGAATATCACAGGGGGACATACAATAGACCACTTGTCACAGTGCATGGGGAAACCCACCNTTGTTCATTTTGTTCATTAATAAAATTTATATATTAAAACTTGTTAAGATCTATCATCTTACATGTTGTATATCAAACTCGTGTTTAATGCCAATCATCCACTATGAGAGTCATTCTTCTTATGTTTTAATTGTGTATATACCTGTGACGTGAAAATGTTACGTATTTATGTTATGTTTTGCTTTCTATTTGTTACGTGTTGTTATCATTATAATGTTTATTACTCACTGCGTCTTATGATAAGTCTTTGGACACTTGATGGCAAGCAGTGCAATGGTTCGACGTGATTAATACACCTGAGGATGGCAGAATGATGCCGAAACATGTAGTGTGAAGTGATGAGTGAGACTGTATGCCCTAAAAGACGGTTAATATATGCACATTATGGATACTCTTATTTTAATTTGTTGTGCATAGATAAACCGACCACTGACACACATTCCACCATCATCCTATTCACACATTTTTTATATGCAGTGATTTCATCATTTACTCTTTGCGTTCTGTTTCATTTTACAGCACTGACCTCAGTACTGTATTTAGTAAACACACCAGCTCGAAAGGAAACACAGCTGATGATTATTTTATCAAATGCTTATACGAGGGGGTACCCAAAAGAAACCGAACTTATTTTTTTTTAAACTTATTTATTCAAATTTTAAGCACAACCCCTTCAAAGTACTCTCCACTTGCACTAATACACTTGTCTAGTCTTTTATTCCATTTTTCAAAACATTGTCTAAATTCATCTTTTGAGATGCTTGACAGCACCTCCGTCGTTTTTTCCTTCACCTCAGTAACAACAGTAAAACGCTTTCCTTTCATGTCTCTTTTCATTCGAGGAAACAAAAAAAAAGGTTTGGATCATTTCGGGACTCTTCTTTCAAAGCACAGCATGCTACCACGCAACCTTGTTTTTGTTCAGCAGTCGTGGCACGAATTTCGCAGTCACCCTTTTCATTCCCAAATCTTCTGTCAAAATTCGCTGAACTGAGCTCCAAGTCACTCCCGACAGCTCCACAATTTCTTCAATGGTCCATCGTCGATCTTCCTTCATGATTTCACGAATTTTTTCAACATTTTCATGTGTTCGGGCCGTGGAAGGACGACCAGAACGAGGTTTGCCATCAATTGACATGTCACCGTGTTTCAAACGGGAAAACCACTCAAACACTTGAGTTTTCCCCATAGCATCGTCCTTGTACGCTGTTTTTAACATTTCAAGAGTTTCTGTTCCACTTTTCCCAAGCAAAAAGCAGAATTTCACCACCACACGCTGTTCACGAAAATCAGCCATTACAAAAACGACAATCACACAAAACAGTTGTCACTATAAACTCTGCCGAAACTAGTACTTACCTTCTGAAGCAACGGTAGTCGGCTTATCGACTCAGGAATGTTAGCTCTATGCACTCATAGTGGCAAAACGCGGTACTACAAAAGATCTGCCCACAAAAGAATTAGTTCGGTTTCTTTTGGGTACCCCATCGTACCTCATTGTCTACACATAATTCTAAATATTTAGACATCACCAATTCATATTCTGAGAACTGGGCTTCATTTTATTCTCTGCTGAATGATAGTAAACACAATGACACCAGTCACTATATATGTCACTAGTGGTAGTGGTACTCTGACTCCATGGCCTGTAGTCTTCAAGCGATCTATACTGACGAGTGAACACCGTTTGTTGGCTAAATTAGTGTCAACTTTTGCGGATAGAGGATGTCACGTGGTCAGTGCAATGGTTCCCTATGGCTGTTAATCTCGGTTTTCTAGACTGGAGACGCAATTTCCTTGAAACAGCTCCTAAATTATCCTCACAAGGCTGAGTGGACGCTGTTCCAGACCCACTACTTCTCAGAAAATGTGGTAGCGCTGGGAATCGAATCTGGGACATCTGGATCTCTAGCCAGGAACTCTGACCACTAGACCATAGAGGTGGTGTGGGTAAAAAATATTTCACGCAGTCAATATTCAAACAGTCGCAACTGTGATCCTTGCAGACACTTAACAACGTTTCCCCCATGCTGTATGTTATAAAGAAAAACAAACCAGTTCATAATAGTAGCTGCAATTAAATGGCTCAGTGGCATTTAAATAAGGCCAGCAGAGAACCACGGTGGTATTGAAATGAGAATGCAAAGGGTTGAAAAGTGTTACCTTCAAAATCCTTCTGGACATCAGCAAGTAAAATATTACGTAGCTTTACACCTCCTACTTCCAGTGAAGCCACAGATCCACATGCTGCAGCTGCTTTCATCCCAAACTGTCGGTCTTCAAGGCTGCGGTCATGAAGGCACTGCACAACAAACCTGTGTCAGAAGAGGTTCAGTAACAATCATATAGATTCTGGCAATACCAAGCAATTTGGCCCAAATGGTAATATATCTGACTTGCATTCTGGAGGTGCCTAGTTTGAATCTCAGCCATGTCACCAACTGTCCTGAGGTACTGGTGGTTTCCCTCGGCCACTCTAAGCAACTGCCAGGATAGTACCTTAAATCAGGTCATGACATCTTTCTCCTACATCATTTCCAATTAATTTTTCACCATCATACACTCATTCAAGGTTACATAATTAGAATTACTCGCAGCATCACTAAATAAACTATGTACGTGTGCATGCACACACAAATTGTATATCTGTGTGTGTGTGTGTCTCTATATGAGGGGTGGGACACAATCTAGCCCCTGCACCGTGATCAACAATGACCTATTGTGCTTCCCCTTTAACTAACCCCTTATTAATCCTACACTTTGAATAAAATGCAGGACTTTATTTATGGGGCGTCACAGCAGTCACTTGCTTCCAACAACACACACAAATTAATAAACTGATTCTGGCAATGAGTGAAGGTATTATGGTGGATGTATATTTATTAAACAGTATCTAAACATATGGGCTGCAACAACACAAGAAAGAAGCATTAGTGTACCTTTCTCTGTCCTAGAAAATGTCATGGTGGAGCAAAGTTTTGTGCCTTTTAAGTATACAACATATCCTATTATTGTTCAGCCAGCCTGACAAAACTATAGCTTAAGGATCAGCAGTATTCCAACTCTTCAGTTCATTCCAAACAAAATTTATGACAACTGAGCTGACCTGAAGAGTCATGACTAGAGCCTGGATGAAAGATAACATCAGTATGTTATCGTTCAGAAAAATCACACATAAATTTAAACTACATGACTATTAATGAATACAAAAGCCAGAAAACACAATGAAACATTGAAAAGACTTAAAAAAATGGGATTGGAGTCAAACCTAAGAACAAAGCCTACAAAAGAGTAGAATTATAAACCCATAATCAACTTAAATTATGTAGTGTATTTCTTCTGGGTAGTGACACCATATAGTCTGGTAGAAGTTCTCAGACTAGATGGCATCATATCCCAGACGACAGTGTCTTCATAGTCACCACCATGAGAACCTCAAAGCTCAAACAATTTATATGATGTTATCACTTCTGCAACACAGGAGAAGACAACTAACAATACACATCAGTGCCATGCAAACAGTAAAGAGAAGGGTCAGGTTCCCCACCACTTCACACACATAAGTGGGAAATGCTTGTCTTCTTCTTTACTGATAATTTACAAACAAACCTGAATTCAGCAATTGTAATGTTAGATTAAATTAGGTTACATAAATGTTATTTCATTTGCTTTATGGTGTGTTCATGTTAGAACTGGTAAGCACAAATAAAACCTGAATTCTGCTTTTCTAGCATGTAGTGTTAAAATACATGGTGAAAACTAGGATAAAAATTTTAAAACTCTATTCCAAATATAAATCCACCTAAGATCTTCTTCTGTCTGACATTGGCTCTGCAACAATTCTTCTACCCTTTGAAGTGTGGCCAGAGATTCATTTGCACCCTGAAGATTGATGCTCTGGATAGTAGCAATCAGGCTATCAACTCCCATATCTGTAGACTGGATTGCCTCTCCAGGACGGCGTAAAGATACTACTTTATCTTGGTTACTTCCCCGACCTCTCCCACGGCCCACAGAAGTCATCTGCACATAATGATTTTGAATATATCGATTTATAATCATCTCATACCATTCAACAGGCGAAGTTCTGATGGAAAATATTCATTCATTAATTTAATTTCTGTGTATCCATGTATAGGTACAACACAGGATATGGAAATAGTCCACTTAACAATGTTCATACAAAATTACATAAGTCTCACCTACATCAATTAATCAATTAACATGATTCAAAGAGAACATTGATATCCCTGTAACAGGCCATGAAGGCCCATAGGGTTGTGAGATGTTGAGCATGTTGAGGGTCCCACATTATCTAGACAATCGGCTCAAAGACGGCAGTCAGGTTGTCAGCCTTACGCGCCGGCCGCGCTTTACTCCCCAGGAAAATTATTTAATTAATTCCTGGTACTCATTTCTGTTAGAGGCTGAGTCGACCCCAGGGCCATAGTGTGGCCGGAAGGATTAGGTCAACTGAAAAAAATCCAATGACCTCATCGGGACTTGAATCCGCGACCTTCCGGCTTGTAGCATAACGCCCCCACCCGGAAGACTGTTATAAATTTTAAGTCCAATATATTGTGGGCCCTTTTGGAAAACTGTTAAATTTGATAAAGGGAAATGCTAGATTAGATACACAAAACAAAACTGTTGTACAATTAGGTTAGGCTACTTGCATATTCACATTTTCGACCTCCGTCTATATTCAAAACATTATTTCATTGGTTAGAGATTGTGAACCCGTCTGTATACCTGCAGCTACAATAAACTGAAATTGAAATTATTACCTGTGATCACAACCGGTTAAAACAGAACTCCTTCGCAACCTTCTTCCCACAACAATACGGACCGATACGGACCATATGTAGGATATGTAGGCACCTGTGGCGACCACGTAGATACGCGAATATCGTGCAGACATGTACTCTTCAAATCAAAACTGTTAACTGCAACACAGTAAAGCGGTAAAGAGACTTTCCAGGGAAATGTATTTAGAATTGTTGATACATATCTCCGTGAGAAGAGAAGTGGACATCAAGTAAACTGTTTGGGGTTTATGCCTTTTGATAAACTATATATTTGCGAACATTAGTAGATAAGATGATTGCTCGCTGTTAATTACTATAAAAAATCGTAAATTAATTGAATATTACTTTTTTACTGCAAGGTTGAACTGATGTATACATATTTCCCTCCTAAAACACGAAACGTGTTAAAATACAAACCAACTTTATTAATGTACGGCTAAAATGAAGTTATTTTTTGGTCAAAAAGTCACGAAGTCTTATCTACAAAGAAGATATTTCAACCTCGATGATTTCTGGGAGAGATCATGGAAAAGGTAACCTCAACGCTATAAACAGTATCGTACTTTTCATGGCACATCGTCAGTAGTCAATAAAAGCAATGTAATAACGTAAAAGAAATTGGTAAAGTGCCATGTAATTGAGAAATGCCCTCTGTAAACATAAATGACGTTAGAATTAAAGGGCTGTCAATTAATTCGCAACGAATTAGACAGTACTTTCTAACTGAAATAGTTCAGCAATGATTTCAGCCAGCTCACACTTAAAAGAGCGATAGAAAAGATAATAATTTGTTATAGTAACCAAAAATAGAGCATTTCTACGTCAATTTCCATATACAAACCATGAGCATACAACTACAGATGAAATTAATAAAATTATCGGGCCATTTAAAAATAACAACTACTCTGGATATTATGAAGTATCCAGCAATATAATGATAGTAGGCTCACAATTTCTGTACTGTTGAGGTATCTGTGTAAGAATAATTGAATGGGAATTGTAATTTTTCCAGACAGGCCAAATTACAGATCAGTTTATTAATCATGTTTTCTAAAGTATTTTATGAAAGTACATTCAGATGAGTAATGCACTATTAGACTCTTAAGAGCATTTTAGTCACTGTATTTGTATTTTATTTTCATCTGTTTTGCTGCATAGTAACACTTGGACAAGTCATTTGGCAATACGAGTTAACGAAACAAATCTACAAAGTTACAAGCATACTACCAACATTTGTTACAGTCATAAGCGATACATTTAAAAAAATACACAAACTACTATATACAGCTCATGACATCTGAACATAAGTACTTGCACCATCCACTTTTTTATTAAAACTAACAAATTCATTTATCGTATAAAAAGAATGTTTCAATAAAAAGGATTTTAAGTCTTTTTTTTAAAGCTGAAAACCCAGTTTTTTATTTTGTTTGTTAAATTTTTTTGTTGCTAGTGGGGTGGGACTAAGTCCCTTGTACTGCAGCCACTTCTGGCCTGTTGTACAAGCCCCAGATGATAGGTGAGGCTGATTGTGGAGTAATTGGTGGAATGAAGATTGGCAGGGGAAACCGAAGTACTCGAAGAAAACCTGCCCCAGCTCCACTTTGTCCACCACAAATCCCACTTGACCAGACCCAGGATTGAAGCAGGGCTGCCGCGGTGGGAAGCCAGCGACTAACCGCTTGAGCTATGGCGCGACCCCAGTGTTTGTCGCCTAACTATACAATTCTATCCCCATATTTACCACACTTTTTTTAAATAATGTAGTTCTGCAGAATTGAACATGAAAATCCTTGTTTATTCTTGTATTATAACTATGAATATTTATATTTTGGATCAAAACTGCTTTGTGCTTTTTTATGTAACATAACACCTCTTAGATATACAAAGAAGTGATAGTGGCGATGCCATAATCTTTAAAAATTTGCCAGCATGACTCTTGTTTACCAAGTCCACTAATTATTCGCAAAACCCTCTTCTGCATTTTAAATACCTTTATACTATCATCTTCACCCCTCCAAAATATTATTCCATATCTCAATAACAATTGAATCTTTCCAAAATAAATGCTTCTTAACATATTTGGACTCAAAACTCCTCTTAGTGATTTAATTATATGGGATGTTTTACAAAGTTTTGAACATAATGACTGGATGTGGGTATTCCATTTAAGGTTGTCTGTAATATCTATACCTAAAAATCTCAGTTCCGTTGAGTAAGCAATTTCCAAGTTATTATAGAGTATCTGCAGTCTAACTACAAACCTATTTTTACTAGGATGGAATAACATGGCAGCTGTTTTTTTAATATTTATTAAATGGTTATTTACCTGAAACCATGTTTCAAGCTGTTTCATGATCTAATTTATTTTCTGTTGAGCTACATCCTTATCTTTATCAATAACAAGTACATTAATATCGTCTGCAAACAGTACCATTTCCACACCTTGTACATTTAGTGGGAGATCATTTATACTATACAGAAGAAACAGTAGTGGTCCCAGAATTGACCCCTGTGGTACCCAATGTATTGTTTCTCTCAAGGATTATATATATGTATTTTGGATAATATTTTTATTCAGGTGATTTATTTCAACAGATTGTACTCGGTGAGATAAGTAAGATTTAAACCATAAATTAGTAACCCCTCTGATCCCGTAGTAATTTTATTTATCTAGTAATATATTGTAGCCTATCACATCATATGCCTTTGTCAAGTCAAAAAATATTCCTATAACGTGTAACCTCCTGTATATTCTCAATGAAGGTCTGGGAAGCTGTTTCTGTCAATGTGTTTTTCCTAAATCCATTTTGCACTTCTGTTAATGCACTTCTGTTAATATGATAGATTTTGTTACATAGGATATCAATGTGTTACACACCAATTTTTCTAGTAGTTTGGAGAAAACTGACAAAACTGATATTGACCTATAATTACAAACTTCCTGTCTTTCCCCCTTTTTTATACAGCGGTCTTACTTTAGCTATTTTCATCTTATCCGGAAAGACCCCTGATTTTAAAGAGGCATTGAAAATATGTACTAAAGGTTTCTTTATGTAATGTGAACATCTCTTGGCTAAATATTCTGGAATTTCATCAAAGTCTGCAGATGGTTTACCTCTTTGACTTTTTATTACCCTCTCTGTTTCAATTTCGGTAATAGGGAGCAAAACATTGTGTTCATTTGATATTGAATCCTCTGTTGTGAGGTTTGTACTGGAGAATGGTTTATATTATTCATTAAAAGATCTTCAACACTTTCCATAAAAAAGGAATTCAACATGTCTGCCATTTTTTGTGGATTGGATGTTTCCTCACTTCCATTCTTTAAACTAGTTATATAGTCGCCCTGCCGAGAACTTCCAGTTTCTTTATTTATTATTTGCCAAATTGCCTTTGTTTTGTTATGTGAACTTAACGTAATCCTATCATTTCCTTTTCTTTTAGCTTCTGTTATAACACTTTTATAGATTTTCTGATATCTCTTAATGTATTCTTATACATCATTTGAAAAATTTGTATTTTTCTTTAAAGTGTTTAAAAGTCTCATTTTCCAACTTGAAACCTTTATCCCCTGTGTAATCCATTTAATCTCATTACAGTTTTTCTTATAAACTGTCTTTAAAGGAAAAGTGCTTTCAGAATAGTACAAAAATCTGTAAAGAAAAGTATTGTAAGATGTATTTAATTCATCATATAAAAGAACATCTTCCCAGGATTCCATCTCAAGTAGATGGTTGAATTCTTCTATATTCTTACCTGAAAACTATCTTCTTGTAATTTTTTCCATCCTATTTAAGCTTATTTACCTTTATATGCAATATCTGATTACACTGAGAACACATCTGCTCACTAATGACACTACACAGACTGGTGTCATGTCCCAGGGAACAGATGAGAGGCTTCTATGACTTGCTGAGACAAGAGAACAGAGAAAGGAGGTTTTTGTCTCAGCAAGTCATGGACGCCTCTCATCTGTTCCCTAAACACCCCCTCCGAAACGTCGGTTAACACCAAATCTATGAGGTGCAACATCCCAGAAGACTGCTTTTTCATGTAACAAGAAGTATGCTTAAAGCATCTCTCAAAGCAATCTGACAATCTAAAGCAACTCTACAACAAGCAAACAATAAACACTTACTCAGTTTTATATAATTAATACTATATGCTCACCATAATTTATACAGAAAGCCTTCTTGCAGGTACATGTGAGGCTGCAACAATAATATGAATCCAAAACACACAAANGTTGCACCTGCTCTCACTGTTTCTTCACCTGCGGTTTTTTTTCCTTCTACCCTGAAGATGGAGGCGATACGTTCCTCCGAAACGTCGGTTAACATCACATCTACATGGCGCCACATCGCAGAAGACTGCTTTCTCCATAGTCACCACTGTGAAAACCTCAAATCTTACTTAATTTAATACAATTGTCACAATTCAGGTATTTACTAACCACATTTCTGTTCAATTACAGGAGGGATTTTGGTTCTTATAACATTGTAAAACCAGGTTTTGTTAGTGAGGGACGCTCAGTGCCAGAACGTATCAATCGGCCATCATACTTTGACACATCAATGCCACCTCCTGGTCCAGATGAACCAGAAATCAAGACAGAAGCACAGATTAAGAAAATGAGAGACAGCTGTAGACTAGCTCGGTTCATGTTGGATTCTGTTGGTAAATACATCAAGGTAAGCCTGACTGAAATGCAAAACAGGAATATTTTATCATTACCAACATATTAAAATTGAAATGTTATTTTACTCACATAGGTGGGCTGTACTACAGATGAGATTGATGCTGTGGTTCACAGCCTGGCAATTAACAATAATGCATACCCATCCCCTCTCAACTACAGGGGTTTTCCAAAGTCTGTCTGCACATCTGTCAACAACGTAGCATGCCATGGAATCCCTGATGATCGCTGTCTAGAGGATGGTGACATTATCAATGTAGACATTACTGTAAGTTTTACTGTAAATAAAATTCTGCCATTCAGCAGTCTGTACTTACACTGTGGCATTAATAGGTAATATTTCTGTGCTGATCAGTAGCAGGAAGTGTCACTTATCTATATTATATTTTCTTGAATATTTTTCTTCTCTGTTTTATTTTATTCTTTATCCAGTTCTCAAATCCCCCCCCCCCCATTCATTTTACTCAACTTTGACTTGTTCATTTTCATACATATTTGAGTTATGACATCAGTCATCAGTCAATTGCCCAAGTGACCAGGAAGCAGCAGACAAAGAAGCTTGATAGCTGCTTCCACTTTGAGTGCTTAGATCCATGCTTCCTTGAAGCACAAAATCATGATATGTTTCACCACCACACAGCGTAATCAGCTTCTGGAAACAAGGAATTGTGTGCATGCTAGACATTAACTCAGAAGATAATCATACTATAAAAGGTAAGAAATGTAAAGTTGTCCCTGTACTTAACTAATTAAGCACTACGCCATTAAGGCACATGGGCGAGTGGATGTATAGATCCACATGTTCTTGATCTTGGCACTAGTTGGAAGTGAGTGGTCAGGTTAAAGCCCCAGCCACTTTACTGCTGGGGAAAAGAGCCCATGGTACCCATTAGATAGGAAGCTGGGTGGGTCCCAGAGTTGGTCTGGATGCTGTGGAAAAGAGAAAATTCTTGACCCTACCAGGACTTGAACTCAGATCCCTTAGTTGCCCAGCTCGTAGCCAGTCCCTATACCAACTACGCTATTCCAGCTCCTATAATCATACTGTAATAAATGGAAAACCATAATTCACTGAAAGGTTAAGGTCACAAGGTGCATTAGATCTAGTTCTTCCTGTGAAATAAAAACTCTTTCTAAATTGTGTAGGGGTGTAGGAGGTGGGTACATGGTCCTAATCTGTTGCAGAGTCTATAATATATCAAGCTGGTGTAATAATTTATTGGGCTGCAAGAGTGACACAACATAATCTAATATAGAATTTTCACACGATTTAATGAGCTTCTGGAAGGCATTAGTGTCATCCAGGCTTTGTGATGAGATGAGCAATTCCATGGTTAATGTGTAGTTTTGGGTGGGGTGAGCAGCCTTAATTTGTGCTTTAGGAATTTACCCAACCAAAACTTTTCGTGGACTGGAAGAGTGGAAGTATCATTTCTTGTTAGAAAGTACGTTGAATTTCCTGAGCATCTGATGATTTTTTCAAATTCATTACTAAAACTTTAAATCTCTGAAAGGTAACATCCCTTTTATCAAAAGAAATACTTATTCTGTGCTCAATAAGAGTTGAAGTGATGATTTTCTGCTCACACCCCTGTCATATTTCCTGCTAACAGAGACAACCAAACCGTTAGTTTTCAGACATAACATCCTATGCAGCAATTTCTCACCTTTCAGTGTTGCTTTTCTCAAGAATATAAGGTCACCTCTTAGGCAAAAGGAAGTGCGGGTTCAAGTCTGTACTTACTCCTTGGCTCTGTTGTTCTCTGAGGGACTTTATGACTGATGCACATTCTTTTCTATCGCTTTCTATCTCTATCTCTTCACTTGCAGCTCCCATAAATCATTCTCTTTATCTTGCTACCATTGCAATCTTGGCTGTCCCATCTAATCAAATGTCCCAACCACTCCTTCCTTCTCCTTTCAAGTTTGCTACAGGATCAGGGGATTTATATAATTCCCTCATTTATTGCCTGCTTCTGATTCTCCAAATCCCTTGCTCAGTTATTGATTATACATCTGTCAAAAGTTGACATTTCCTGCAGGTTTGATATAACTATCCTTCTCAGTCAAGGACCATATTTCACATCCTTACATCACAACTGTTTTCATATAGGTTCATGTCCTACCTGTACAAAAGTTTTCACCATGTCCATACTGATATATTCAATTAATTTATTTGTGTATGCTGGTATAGGTTTATCTCAATGGATTCCATGGTGACTGTTCAGCAATGTTCCTAGTTGGAGAAGTGGACAAAGATGGCAAGGCATTGGTGAAAGCAACAGAACAGTCACTAGAGCGTGCTATTTCAATTTGTCGACCAGGAGAGTTCTTTTGTAACATTGGTACTTATCTCATATCACTTGTACTTTGTAAGGTGCATACAAATCTTGCATAGTATATCTTTCTGAAACAAACTGAATTCCTCTACTTCAACAGTCTACTTTGTTTACCTCTTGTTTCCTGTATCCTGTCACAATTCATATGATGTAAATATTTACATCTTTTATTAATATTAATCATATTGTGATGCATTGCACTATGGAGAACATCCCCTCCCCTGCCAGCCGTGACGTGGCGGCATCGGAGCACTATCGCTACTACAGTAACAGGCCAGTTAACACTCCGCCCCCCTCCCCTGCGGTGACGTGGCAGAGGTGCGGCTGTGTCAGGCAACCATTGCCGCAGTTACTGCACAGCAGAAAACAACTCTAGACAGCATTGCCCAGCAGCACCTGTAAACAGGTGACATGGCAACAGGGAAGTGAGGCGCTTTCCGTTGTCTGGCTGAGGGTTTATAAGAGAACTGCACTGCCTAAGGAGTCAGTTGAATTGGAACAGTCGCCGGGTTCAGTTGTAGCGAGCAAATAATGAATGTGAAGAATACCAATAGTGTGAGAAGTTATTGGGAGTCTGTAATACAGTGACAGTGGTATAGCTCCCGTGTTATAAGTATGTGAAGACTACTGAGGACAGAATGAATTGATTAGCTTGTAAGGTTTGTAAATTGTGTAAACCCATAACAGTGTCATAATTAATTGTAGCTACGACTTGTAGGTTGTTAAATAAACCAATTAACAATCCAAACGGCGTCTTCAGTAGCAAAACACGTTACAATATATATGTATTGTATTACATGAACTTTCATTACCCTTTCAATATCACTTAAATTAAGAAAATCAATTACAGTTGAAATGAGTAATTCAGCAATGTAAATTCTCTGAAAACAGAAAGAAAAACAAATGAACAACTGTAAGGTCATGTTCTACCTGTGCTTTAACTAAGCATCACACCATGAAGATGTATGGGGAGTGGAGGTATAGCTCCACCATTCTTGATGTTGGCATTAGATGGATGTGAGTGGTCAGCTTCAAGCTCCTGCCAATTTAACCCCCAGGAAAAGGCTGCCAGTACCCATTGGATAGGAGGCTGAGTGGGCCTTAAAGCCTGTCTGGATGCCATGGACTGAGAAACAAAAGGAAAAGGACCTCTGGCTGTCCAGCCAGTCACTGTGCTGACTGAGCCATCCAAGCTCTAATGATGAACACCAGTCAGTTCTATTACATTCCAAACCAGTTGAACTACCTAGCATGACTCTAGAAACTCTCAGACACTTGCATGGAGATTGGCCACAACTAGGAGCAAAGAAACTAAGTATATGTTCATGCATTGTCAACATAATGCAGAACAGAATCATAACACTGCATAAGGTATAATATAAATCCTTTGAACATGTTGCAAATTTTAAGTACTTAGGAATAACGGTAACAAATCAGAATCTTACACATGCGCATGCATCTATTTATGTATAAGTAATGAAAGAAAGAGCAGGTTAAATCAGAAATATTGCTAACATTCAGCTCTTTAGTATTAAATTTCTGGCATCCTTACTAGAAACCCAAAAATTAAAATATGACTGTCATTGTACCTGTTGTAGTGTATGGGGTCTATCATTCTGGGGGTGAGGCACGGGGTGTTGAGATTAACTGAACCTAGGAAAGAGAAAATAACAGGAAAATTAAGAATATTAGCTAATAAGATGCTTCATAATTTTTATCCTTTGCATAATATTACTGTGGTGATTATGTCAAGGATTTGGGTGAAACATACACCATGCATGCAGATGGGGGATATGAGAGTGCATACAAAATCCTAACCAGAAATAGGATTTAAAGAGGTGGGCTAGACTGAACTTGCCTGTTACAGGGTCTGATGTTTATGTTGAAGTTTACAAAAATTGCAATTGGGTGTACACTGGACATTGCATTTTCCATGAAAATTAGAGAACAGAAGGTTTAGACAGACAAAATAAGTAATATCTGTTACAGGGAGTGAAGTGGAGCTAGTGGCACGCAAGGCTGGGTTCACTGTTGTACCATGTTTCACTGGACACGGCATTGGCAGCTACTTCCATGGTCCCCCAGACATATACCATTGCTGTAAGTGTCAAAAGAGGAAGAGGCTAGTTTGTGGTTTATGTTCTCCATCTTTAAAAAATGTTGAATTCTATAATACAGCAAAATCTCAGTAAGTATTGCTTTAATTCTTCACAGTAATGAATCTCACCATAATTACTAGGGCAAAGTGTTGGTCTGGATGAACTGATAATATTTTTGGGTGGTAACATTACATTACACTAATCGGGAAGAGGGGGTGTCTGACATTGCCATATGTCCATAAAATAGTGTCTGTGTGAAACCAACAACAAATTTACCCGTGACAGAAGTATGCACTATATATGTTGAAGTTAAACGGGAACCAGCTATGATGGGTGGTGGGACTACTTACAGGACACTGTCACCTTAAAGGACACCTGTTCAAACTGGGCCTAAGTGATAGTCCCACTTGTGAGAGGTGTCGAAGAAAATGAAACAGCCACACATATCCTGTGTGAATGTGAGGCCTTAGCTTATTTAAGATTGCATCACTTGGGTCAATATTTTATGGGACCAAGTGACTATTTCAATGTTCCCACGTACAAAATCCTGCACTTAATTCGAAGCGCAGGATTGTTGGGATAACCAGAAGGGGAGGCACAGTAGATCACTGTGGTCTCGTTGCAAAGGCCAAGAAGGCCCACCCCTTATCCTTCATTCATTCATGCACTATACAACTAATGTTCACGGCACAACTGACGAAGTACATATACACGACATATCAACTGGACTGTTACAGGGAAGTACCAACATATCAACTAGAGAATAACAGTGAAGTACTGAAGAATGTTGGCCATTAAATCAAGGATTTACTGTAACTGGCTTCCAGAAGCTGTGTTGCCATACTCTGCATTATTCAGAACTTCTATTATAATGTGGCATACTAGCTCAAAGCAAGAACTGTGGAGCCAGAGAAACAGCCATTGATAGGTTAATGGCTGTGTAACATGCAACAGTGGAGTAACTGTTGGAAGCGAAGTTTTCTGTGCTATATAATGAGGACCAGCTGCCACTGAGGTGGCAGTTAGAAGAGTAGGAGATTGATGTGAAATAGCTGCCAGCCTGCAAAGATGTGAACCCAGAAGCAGAGGAATGTCCACTGTTGGAAGACGTTACCAAGCAGAGCACTGAGACTGTGACTTCAAAAACTAAGTCTTTATGTGATAGTGATCTGTAAGGTGTAGTAAAGTGTCAAATAAATCTGATTACCAATCCAAACCCTGCCTATAGCCAGTCAATCACGTGACAGTAATGGATTTATACTGCATTTTTGAGGGAATATTCACCAGAAGAAACTGAAAAAGAAAATAGGACAGTCTTATTAAAATTGATCCATTTGGTCACTTTATGAATGTTCATTTGTAAAAAATGAAGCTTCAGTTTTGGTTATTTTATGAATACTCATTTGGAACCAATTCCAGTACTTTTGTGACATCAGTGTATCAGTGTGAGAAGTCCTCTTCTTGGGACATTTTAAATGACCTTCATTCATAGAACCATACAACTCCCATATAGAAAGCCAGTCATAACTTTTACCTGTTGTACAAGTGGTTTAGAGATGGCTATTTTCTTACAGTACTGATAGCAGTAAAAATACTGTAGTAAGTGTTGTAAGATAGAATGGAAGGGGCTGTGCTGTGAGGTGTCAGTTGGCAATCCTCCATTAATTTAGAATGTCTGCATTAATTAATGATGCTTTAAAGTGTATTTCAATATTTTCTAACATTTTACTTCTTGGCAAGGCAGACTGTAATTTCATTTATTACAGGAGAAGTTGGTTTGTGTTCCCATCGATCAACTAAAAATAACAATAACTATGCTTAAAGCATCTGTAAGACAGTCAGTTATACAATTTCTTAAATAGTGGCTCCTAATATAAAAAATTCAACTTTAATGCCAGCATATTTATCTGAATGAGGTATATAACTTTTCCGTGAAACATTTTCTTATTTAGAGGATCTGTAATGAGATAAACATTTCATTTTGGTCTTTAAATGAAATGGAAGAATATTTGGTTAATACAGCTTAAACCCTTATTTTGAATGTGTTTTAGAAGGTTTTTAAGACAAATTTTAGTATAAAATGATTCAGCAGTCAAACGTCGGACAATAAAGTTTCTTTAAGTGTAAACAATTCCTGAAACAGACATGGAACTTCTGGATGTAATATGGAAATGAAGGTGTTCTTCATATTAATATATGGATATATTTAAAGAAAATTCATACTCATCAAGGTGGCTCAAGTGGTAATGCTCTCAACTTGTATAACTTGTGTATGTGGGGGGNCAGCTGACACATCAGCTGTCCTGATTGAGGTTTTTCATGGTTATTCTCAATGTTTCCAGGCAAATGGTGAGATAACACCTTGAACTAGGCTATGACTGCTTCCTTCCAGATCTTTTCCGCCCATTATTTATTATCATCCTACCATTACAAGCTAAGTTTCTGGTCCACATAATGTATTTCAAGATGCATTGTATATTTGTTGTTTAATATTACATAAAGCAGAATAATTTTTTGTTTGGTGCAGATAATAATTACCCTGGGAAGATGAAAACTGGAATGGTATTCACAATAGAGCCTGTACTGGCCCAAGGGTCACATGAGATAGTCATACTGGAGGATGGCTGGACAGCTGTTACGCTGGACAATGGGCGGACTGCACAGTTTGAGCACACTGTCCTCATCACAGATGATGGTGTAGAGATCTTGACCAACAACGTTGCATAGTACAAACTGTAATAATAGTAACAACCACAATATCAACATGAAAGATGTACAAACTTGTGAAGTGCCCCAAAGACTAATGCCCCTTAAAATACAGATTGCAAGTGATATATGGTAATTGATCTTTGAAAAAGTAAGCAGATTCCCTTAAGGTTAATTTTCTAGACACAAAATAATATAGCAGCCATAAGAACCGGAGTTAAAAATATAAAATATTGTATTAAGCCAGAATATAAGGATTTCTGCAAATTATGTATAAATGCTTGTAAGTCATTACAAACATGATGATGGTGAAAATCAGGTTATATCAGAGAAATACAACATAGCATCTGTACATATATAGAAGAATCTTCCCAGAAATAAAGTAATGATACTAACAGCAGCAGTAACTTGCATACTTATTTGCAAGTGCGTGCAGTACACATTTCTGATTTGAGTAGAATTTGATCCTATGACCACCTGTTCACAAGCCCCTCCCACTAATCTGGAAGCTAAATTACATTTTACTGTTGGGATAGCATAAAGCCCATTCACATATCAACAGGAAAATGTAAAAACAAATTTCACTAAAAGTACTTAACATCAACAACTTGAAAATTTCTACAAAGACAGTTACATGTAGCCGTGTAGTCTGGTGCAAGCAAACCAATGTTTTGGAGGAACGTGTCACCTCCATCGTAAGGGTTAAAGAGTAAGCCATGCAAAAAACCAGCATGAAGCAGGCAGCAACAGTGCTTGCTGTCTGCCTGGTTTCTTGCAAATGTCAGGTTATCAACATTGGTGAGACATGTCACATGACTATTATCATTTTATTTTATTTTATTTTTACTTTATTTTTTTTTCTTAGTGGGGTGAGACTGAGTCCACTTGGTACTGCAGCCACTACTGGCCTACTGTACCAGCCCCAGATAGATGATGGTGATCGTGGAGCAATTAATGGAATGAAGACTGGCAGGGGAAACCAAAGTACTCTGAGAAAACCTGCCCCAGTGCCACTTTGTCCACCACGAATCCCACGTGACCTGACCTTGGTTCGAACCTGGGTCGGCGTGGTGGGAAGCCAGCAACTAGCTGCCTGAGCTATAGCACGACCAGTCATATGACTAAGGAACACATGAAGGAGCACCCAGAATGCTTGGTGGTGGCATAACAGCTAATCAACCATGAACACTGAATACATATTTGAAACACAATGGAATTCCCAAAATTGGCCCACTACACCAGAACTTATCTGGAAAGCCACAGAAATTATCTTAAATAAGAACTTCTGTAGGGGTCATTTCATGTGAAGTCATCCAGAGAGGACGCTCACCATTTAAAAAAAATTAAAATTTGTACACTTATTTCTACATATTTTCACACCTCAAAAATATTTTTTAAAAAATTGTAATCCGCTCGGTTCTCCCGGCACATCCGTTTTTATAATGCGAAAAAACTCGTTTTCGGCTCAAATGGAGGTTTGCGTTATCTTCTATATCTCGATAACTATTGCAGCTAGGGACTCCAATGAAAATCCAATTTGTTCCTCATGATATGGGCAACAAATCATATCATTACAAGGTTTTACTCAACTCACTTCCTCTAGGTGTAATTAACCTTGAAACTTACCTAACGATTTTGGGAAAAACGCTATTTTTCACCTTCAGAAACCAATGGGAGGGTGAAAGTATCAGATCTGTGGTTTCTACCCTTTGTTTTCTCCTACATGAAGAATATAATCACATAGTTTTGAACACCGTATCTATTTTCCAAAATTTTCCAGGAGCTTCCAAACTTTGCTCTGGGCCCAAAATCGGCCATTTTTAACGTCTCATATCTCCGGTGGGGAAGCTCCGAAAAATTTTAAACTCATAACAAATAATGCTCTATTCCAGAGTAACTTGGAGTTACAATTACAACTTTGATATTCAACTAATAGCGAAGTTTTTATAATGCGAAAAAACGCGTTTTCGCCTGAAATGGAGGTTTGCGTTATCTCCCATATCTCGATAACTATTGAAGCTAGAGACACCAATAAGAAACCAATTTGTTCCTCATGATATGGACTATAAATCATATCATTACAAGGTTTTACTCAACTCACTTCCTCTAGGTCTAATTAAGCTCGAAACTTGCCTATCGATTTTGGGAAAAACGCTATTTTTCACCTTCAAAAACCAATGGGAGGGGGAGAGTATCAGATTTGTGGTCTCTACCCTTTGTTTTTTCCTACATGTGGAATATAATCACATAGGTTGAACCCCGTACCTAGTTTCCAGAATTTTCCAGGAGTTTTCAAACTCTGCTCTGGGCCCCAAATCGGCCATTTTTAACATCTCATATCTCCGGTGGAGAAGCTCCGAAAAATTCACAGCAAATAATGCTCTATTCAAGAGTAACTTGGAGTTAAAATTACAACTTTGATATTCAACTAATAGCGAAGTTGTGGGCACTTTAAATTTTACAGATTTTGCAGAAAATTGTTCGTTTCTCGTTCAAGACGAGATTCAAAGTTTCCATTGGGTAAATGAACAGGCTACACTTCACCCTTTTGTGTATTACTACAAGGCGGACAATAACAAAATGCCCAAGCTTGTGTATAATCAGTGATCATGTAAAGCACGATAGAGCCACAGTTCATGTGTTCCAAAAATTTTCTTATCGCCGATATAAAAGAAAATGTGCCTTCAGTCAGGAAAGTTATTTATTTCAGTGATGGCGCTGGAAGCCAATATATAAAAAAAAGAATCTTTCCAATTTATGTTATCATTATGAAGACTTCGGACTTGAAGCAGAATGGAACTTCTTTGCCACCTCGCACGGGAAGAATGCCTGTGACGGTATTGGCAGCACCACGAAGAGGAAAGCAGCGAAAGCCAGTCTTCAAAGAACTCATTTTAATCAAATCATGTGCCCGCTAGAACTGTAAATATTCTGCACAGAAAATATCCCATGAATAGTTTACTTTTTTTTGTGCCAAAAGATGAAGTTGCAAGAAATGAAATCATTCTAAAAAGCATGTTCCAAAAGTGCAAAACTGTGCTCCGCACAAGAGAAATACACCGGGTCGTCCATCTGGAGGAAAACACGGTCAGGTGTTAGAAAACATCCAAGTCCGATGATTTCGAAGACATCGTGAGAGTGGACACTTGCTGAACTACGTGTACTTTCAAACAAAATGGACAATTTTCGTCGGAATACACAAAGAACTATTACCATTGGATGCAGGTAAGCCAATTGTTGAGGTATTGGTTTTTTTTGGTAAAATTCAAAGTGCCCACAACTTCGCTAGTAGTTGAATATAAATGTTGTAATTTTTACTCCAAGTTGCTCTAGAATAGTGCACTATTTGCTGTGAATTTAAAAATTTTCTTAGCTTCTTCACCGGAGATATGACATGTTAAAAATGGCCGATTTTGGGCCCAGAGAAAAGTTTGGAAGCTCCTGAAAAATTTTGGAAAATAGATACGGTGTTCAAAACTATGTGATTATATTCTTCATATAGGAGAAAACAAATGGTAGAAACCACAGATCTGATACTTTCCCCATCCCATTGGTTTTTGAAGGTTAAAAATAGCGTTTTTCCCTAAATCGATAGGTAAGTTTCGAGTTTAATTAGACCTAGAGGAAGTGAGTTGAGTGAAACCTTGTAATGATATGATTTGTTGTCCATATCATGAGGAACAAATTGGTTTTTCATTGGAGTCCCTAGCTGCAATAGTTATCGAGATATAGAAGATAACGCAAACCTCCATTTGAGCCGAAAACGCGTTTTTTCGCATTATAAAAACGGATGTGCCGGGAGAACCGAGCGGAATACAAATTTTAAAAAAATATTTTTGAGGTGTGAAAATATGTAGAAATAAGTGTACAAATTTTGAATTTTTTTAAAAATGGTGAGCGACCTCCCTGGATGATTTCACATGGAATGGCCCGTAGAGAACAGGGCTACCAACTAATCCCTGTCTGGGATATGCACATACTTGAGATGCAGTGGATGCCACAACCATACTCATCCCACAAAACCTGTATCAGAGCAATGTACAACTGCAACAACTTCATAAGAGAATTTCCTCCCAAAAGCAGAAAACAAACAGCTCCCTTTAGACCTATTTCCCTCCTACAATATCTCATTCCACCTTTCCTTTCTTCTCTTTTCCATCACAACCTACCCTTGACCAACATGGATGCCCTCACCATCTTCCATGTCTCAACCCACAGCAACAGTGTGCTTGGCAAACACTTGAATATGTGACTGCACGAGACAGCAGCTGGCAAAGGTTTCTTGGTGTACTCAATGGCCATTATAGGGTTGTTTGATAACACTTCCCTTTCCACTATCCCTACTGGCTCAGACTGGGCACCAGCCACCAGCCTTCCTCTTTTGGTCTGTCAGGCAAAAGGTCTATGCATGAACACTGACTTAACGAACTGAATTTTACCTTGAAGATGGAGGCAACGTGTTCCTCTGAAATATCATCAACATTATCGAACTCTACACATTGCAAAGACTCAAGAGTAGAACAAGCATGAACAGATAACTAATGTGAAACCCCAAATCAGTAATGGTGCCAATATTACTTCTTAGTTAAATTAATACTGTCTTTATTTTCTGGCTTTTTTTTTTGTATCTTGATCTAAGGATGAAGTAAGTGAACGATTTTGAATAACACACAGTAAGAAATTCATGATTTGTACAGGTTAGGAGAGAGAAATCAAGGAGGTTCCAATAAACTGGGCATGAAGCTAGGACAGGAAGATAAGGAATGTAGACAGAATTTTGATTTCTGTTTTACTGTATATGAACAATATAAGTTATGAAAAGGAGAGCTGGACTGTTTGCAACAGTTTTAGTGTGGTCCAAATAATATGTCTGTCATTAATTAGAAACATTTAGAGCTTTTATTAACAAAACAGATTTAAATGACATGAGCACAGTAACAGAGAATTTATGCTGTAAACACTGCTCACACAGGAAACTAAACTTAATCATCAGTAGCACACATTCTTCTCCATTCTTAGAAGCGTTTTTATAATATAAACTCTACCCTTAACATCAATACTCATTTGCAGTACAAAATACACATTTAAATAACATGACTCAGTCTTAATAGTTGTCATACAAACAACACTATTGTCACTTCCTTGGACGTTACATCATGTCCTTGGAAGAGGCACTAGTCCCTCTCATCACACAACACCTAGACTGCAATAAAAGTAGTAGTAGTAATAATAATTGTATGACAATGCAACAGTTGCATAAAATATCTGCCTGAATCATTTAGTCAGGGTGATCATACATGTTTCAGTTGTAAAAACACCCAAGAAACAACAATACTTATAATAATAATAATAATAATAATAATGGAACACACAGTTAAGCAATGCATTTGCAAAACTACAAGA